ACTCCAATTATGTGTAGAAGTGACACGAAAAAAAATATAATGAATCAAGAAAACAGCATGCAAATCCAATAAGGGACAAAAACGTAGTGACAAGAAAAAGAGAGAAATATCAAGAGATCTATTTCGCACCTTCACGACGAACAGTGCCAAACAACTGCAAAGACAACACATTCTCCTTCTGAACACAAAGCTCAGGGTCTAACTTACGTATGTACAAAGCTTCCAACACGGCAAGATGTAACAAAGACCTACCACGCGACAAAACAGAGAATACATCATCGGAATACCACTCACGACAACTAGCACTGCCCGACAGGTGACACTTGATTGCCGAGGTACCGTTTCCCTGACCCGACGACTTGGCCGTTGTCACCTCCGATATTGCCGCTTGCGAATCTCTCCCATTACGCCCTGCGTCCCTGCAATTCCGATTGCCTCGGTCGAGATCAGTGTGCTGCCCCACGTCCAGTCTGTCCTGCTTCCGTGGTCTACCTCGTTTCTTCACATTAACCGTTGTTGTCACTTCCAGTATTGGTTCTTTTGATTCGTCATCAATTCGTCTCCTCAATTGACTTCTGGTGACTCGTCCGGGGCTCGATTGTCCAGATGTCAGTTTCGGTGGTTTCCGTATAGGTCTCTTCTTCTTGTTGACTGTTGTTTGGGCTGGCTCCAGCCCTCCGCCCGACGAAAAGGAGGAGGCGTCGGCAAGCGTATCCACAGCGGACTTGGACAAGTCCACCTCAGACATGGACTGCACTGGACACTTCGGTGGACGACCACGCCGAGGTCGAGAACCACGGGCAGCTACAGGGACAAGATTCAACGGTACATGTTGACGAATCCGTGCGCCCAGGTGCTGAAAGGTTCTACCTACGTACCGATTTTCACAATTTCGGCACTGAAAGAAATAGATTAAATTACTTTTGCTTAGGGTAGGTAGAACGTCCTTCTTCACGCTGAACGCACGGGTCGTCCCAAAGATGACATACAATTTGACACACGGATAAGAGGAACAAACAATATTCCGCACCTCCTTCTCGACGCGCGAAGAACCGGCACCAACCCATGGCAAACGTAGTACCACAGGGCATCTCTCTGGTCCAAAAGTAATCGTCCATTTGGCCATCAATGTACTGTCGTTTTGTTGATGATGTGTATTGTCACGACGACGACAAGGAAACCTGTGATAGGTTTATGGAAACTCTCAACTCCTTACATCCAGCATTAAAATTCACATCAGATGGTGAAAACAATGGTACACTTTCTTTCCTGGATGTTAGTATTTCTCGTAACATGGATACGCACAACATGGACACGACCATTTATAGAAAGCCCACTTTCACAGGCTTGTATATCCCATGGTCAAGTTTTACTCCAACTAAGTCCAAAACACACCTCGTCAAGGCCCTTGTCTACCGTGCACATAGGATATGTTCCCCTCATCTGCTGGACGAGGAACTAGAACGACTCTTAACCATAATGACAAAGAATGGCTATCCAAAGACACTTTTAATGAAACTCATCAACCAGAAACCGACCTTGGAAAAGACGATTACTTTTGGACCAGAGAGATGCCCTGTGGTACTACGTTTGCCATGGGTTGGTGCCGGTTCTTCGCGCGTCGAGAAGGAGGTGCGGAATATTGTTTGTTCCTCTTATCCGTGTGTCAAATTGTATGTCATCTTTGGGACGACCCGTGCGTTCAGCGTGAAGAAGGACGTTCTACCTACCCTAAGCAAAAGTAATTTAATCTATTTATTTCAGTGCCGAAATTGTGAAAATCGGTACGTAGGTAGAACCTTTCAGCACCTGGGCGCACGGATTCGTCAACATGACCGTTGAATCTTGTCCCTGTAGCTGCACGTGGTTCTCGACCTCGGCGTGGTCGTCCACCGAAGTGTCCAGTGCAGTCCATGTCTGAGGTGGACTTGTCCAAGTCCGCTGTGGATACGCTTGCCGACGCCTCCTCCTTTTCGTCGGGCGGAGGGCTGGAGCCAGCCCAAACAACAGTCAACAAGAAGAAGAGACCTATACGGAAACCACCGAAACTGACATCTGGACAATCGAGCCCCGGACGAGTCACCAGAAGTCAATTGAGGAGACGAATTGATGACGAATCAAAAGAACCAATACTGGAAGTGACAACAACGGTTAATGTGAAGAAACGAGGTAGACCACGGAAGTAGGACAGACTGGACGTGGGGCAGCACACTGATCTCGACCGAGGCAATCGGAATTGCAGGGACGCAGGGCGTAATGGGAGAGATTCGCAAGCGGCAATATCGGAGGTGACAACGGCCAAGTCGTCGGGTCAGGGAAACGGTACCTCGGCAATCAAGTGTCACCTGTCGGGCAGTGCTAGTTGTCGTGAGTGGTATTCCGATGATGTATTCTCTGTTTTGTCGCGTGGTAGGTCTTTGTTACATCTTGCCGTGTTGGAAGCTTTGTACATACGTAAGTTAGACCCTGAGCTTTGTGTTCAGAAGGAGAATGTGTTGTCTTTGCAGTTGTTTGGCACTGTTCGTCGTGAAGGTGCGAAATAGATCTCTTGATATTTCTCTCTTTTTCTTGTCACTACGTTTTTGTCACTTATTGGATTTGCATGCTGTTTTCTTGATTCATTATATTTTTTTTTCGTGTCACTTCTACACATAATTGGAGTGATATATTTCTGAACTTCTTTTCCTTATAGTTGTAGTCTTTTAGCTTATTTCCATCATTCCCTGTAGTATTTTGACAAGAAGGGAACGAAAACGTTCAATACTGTGACACATGTCCTAACTGGCTGGTGGTGACTCTTGCGTAGATGCATGCGTAGATAATACATTTTTTGTAATAATAATAATAATAATAATACCACAGCACGCGTACAAAGGCCAAAGAACAATGCATGGGAATACACTGAAATTAAGCCAAGTCCGCTTCTGTCTCCTGTCAACCAAAACTCATCCATAAACAATGTCTGATCTCCATTTCGACTTGTATATAGTATCGTTTTAGTTCTTCTCAAATCTCGTCATTTCTTCTAAGTTCTAGCATCTCACTTTTCATTTGAAATCACATTGAAAGGAGTTATGAAGCAACTATCCACGACTGTAAAAAAACAGTAAGTAGTCAGAACGGACGATAACAGGTGACAAACCTTACATCTTACCGAGAAATTCAACGGCCTGAGACGGAGCTCTCTCACACGAGTATCGTGCCACATTCCGCCCGAAGGTTGTGCAAAGCAAAATAATTTCATAATTATACCATTCTGTCCACCTCCAATGCGCCAACCAACAGCCTTCCAGCTTGGAAGGGTATGTGATTGTGATTTCGTGATTTCTTCTATTGTAATTATGCTTATTAACTCAGTATTCGGTATTCCGTACTCAGTATACCGGTATAACTGGTTCCGAATCACAGATGGCTCCCAGACAAGATGCTCTGTTGCCCTCCCCTAGGCTAAAATGTCCTCCCTTGTACACTCTCCACTCTTTGTTGCCTACACTGCTTGGCTTGCACTGCCCGCTACTACGCGCAATGCCAGTACCATGGATGCATTTAAATCTACTCACTAGTTTCACCATCACCTGTCCCTCCCATGCTTCTCCGTCTTGATCATTACTTTTCCTCTTTTCTTCTTTTAATCTCCTTGGTTGGTTAAAACCCACATCTTCCATACTGGCTGATTTTTTTTCATGCCCTGATAATGTACGAAGTAGTGGTTGCGACTTCGGCGATGACTTGTAAGAAAGGGTTTGCTCCCCACACCGGAGCTCGCGCTATTCTGCCGACTTTGGCAGTCATGAGTCAGTCAAGTGTCAAGTAAAGTCGGCAGAATAGCGCGAACTCCAGTGTGGGGAGCAAACCCTTTCTTACAAAATAATGTATCTCGTTTTACTGATTTACGACCCTCTATCGCACTTCGCACTATGCACGTGTTCACAGTACATTTACACTCACTTCTCACTAAATACCTAACAAGAAACTTTGCGAGGTTGCACTATCCCTAGTCTGGTGTTGAAGTGGGCCACTGCAGTGCATGTCTAATCTGGTGTGATCCCAAAGCAGGTGTGAATGTGAAGAGGATAATTAAATTTTAGAGTGGGAGAGCCTGTTGTCCGTTTGTGGGTGGGTGTGTTTGTGAGGGAGAGAGAGAGAGAGAGAGAGAGAGAGAGAGATAGATAGAGAGAGAGAGAGAGAGAGAGAAAGAGAGAGAGAGATAGAGAGAGAGAGAGAGAGAGAGAGAGAGAGAGAGAGAGAGAGAGAGAGAGAAGAGAGAGAGAGAGAGAGAGAGAGAGAGAGGGAGAGAACATTTGCGCGTATATCTGAGTGGATGTGCGCGTGACTGTCAAAGAGTATAGTGCGGAATGAAGAGTTCTGGAAATAGACGTGGACTGTTGTGATGTGACGTGCGAGTAAGTGCAGTGTTCGCATACTTATTTGGTAAAAGCCAGATGAAACTCATTACACTTATATTGTGCGCAAGTAACGAGAGTTTGATTTGGTACTTGAATATTTGATCTTGTCCGGTACTTTGCCGTGTTAGGAACGAGAAGAAGTAAGGTTGGACGGATTGTGTACGTACTTCAGTAAGTGAATGATGGCTGATTTAAACTGGACATCTGAGGGGAGTGTAGTTTGTGACACATTCTCACCATTGCCACCTTTAGTGATATGGACCAATTAAAAGTCAGTTGGATGTCCTCCGCCGCCGAATACAACATCTTATTCTGCGCCTTGTACAGCTCTTCACCAAGCATACGCCGTTGGTGGGAATCAAGTAGCGACCTCAGAAGCCCCGTTTGGCTGTTATACACTTCAGCATACCTCATTCAGCCCTTGGAATACACCATCAGTTACAGCCGAATTACAGTCAGATTATGCACGGCTGGACATAAAAGACCAGTGCAGGGACTCTCGACCAGTGTGCCAGAGGAACGAAGATACACACACTATTGAAATGTCAACAACACCTGTCCAAATATCATGCTGGAATCCCATGATATTGGTAGTGGACATTGATCAAAGATCGCAAGACAGCGGTAACCAAACTGTGAATTGTCCAGTTTCAGTTTCAGGTCACTACGCAGGACTCGGGCACGTAACGAATATCTCGGAAAAAGGCAACTACCCAATCACGTCTGTCGAAGTGGACCATCACAGTATCGGCCATGTTCCAGTATCTCCTCTAGCGCCGAGGGTATCTGAAGATGCCAAACATCAAGATCGTCAAAAGCTCAACTATCAGCATACCTCGGAGTCGTGTTCTGAGAAAGATAGTCAACTTTTACCTGACCATCCTCAAGATCATACGTCACTCATCAATGAAATCGGGGTGTCACTTGATCGCCAGAATGATATTCGTTATCGTGCACATTCACTATCTGGAAAAGAGCCTCATAAATGTAAGCATTGCGATAAGTCATTTTCTGCTCAATCCTCTCTAACATCTCATGACCGTACATGTCCAGAAGAGAACCATTTCAAGTGTAAGGTGTGTGATAAACCTTTCACTATGCGATATAGTCTGGTCTGTCATGGTCGAGTTCACTCAGGAGAGAAACCCTTTCAGTGCACGTACTGCTATCTCATAAATGTAAGCATTGCTAGAAGTCATTCTCTGCTCAATCCCGTCTAACATCTCATGAACTTACATGTCCAGACGAGAAAGGTCTCAAGTGTAAGGTGTGTGATAACACCTTCAGTGAGCGATATAGTCTGGTCTGTCATGGTCGAGTTCACTCAGGAGAGAAACCCTTTCCGTGCACGTACTGCGCTAAATCATTCAGTGAGAAATCCACCTGTACTGTTCATGAACGCATCCATACAGGGAAGAGGCCGTTTAAATGTGATCAGTGTGACCAAGGTTTCCCAAAAGTTCTGGCCTTAGAGTTCATATTCGTACACATACTGGAGAGAAACCTTTCAAGTGTAAACGATGTGACAAGTCATACAGGCAATCCTCGCATCTCATTAACCATCAACGCATCCACACTGGAGAGAAACCATTTTCTTGTGGGGAATGTGGAAAGTCTTTCACAAAGAAATTCAACCTAACACGTCATGAACGAATCCATCCTTGATAGAAACTGATCAATGCCATCGCTCGTGAAAAGTCTTTCAATGTGAAAAATGCACGGGAAGACTATGTAAATAAAAACATCATAAAACATAAGGCTTGTTTCCAAGATGATGGAAAATGCTAATTATAGGTCCGTTTTGAAACGCATGAAACCTAATTGTCCCTTTATACCCGAATCTGATATCCATGCCACAGTCATTCACTGCTTACATGCTAGCTGCAACATAATTAAGTATCATACAAACGTTATCATTATCATTGTATTCCAGTTCCTACTCAGAAGGAACTTTTCCATATCTACCATTCATTAGAAACTCAATTTGGCTGAACGTTCCTGTACGGTTCATTTTTGATAAATCAGTCCTGTTTGATGTCGGATATCCTACTTCTGGAGCATGGTTCCAGGGTACGGATCTTTTCGCCGGAATAGGCGCTGTGGTACTCTCAAATTCGCACACGAAGCTAAAATGTGATGTATCCTTCGTCCCATGAGTTATATTGTATAGTAACACTTTAGTACTCAGAGTTTGAGCTAGTAAACTCGATCGAAAGACGTGTGCCCACAATTTCCATGTTACAATTCACGTTTTAGTCTTTATCAATACTCATCAAATCTTCAGAAATCTGATAGTATCGCATTGTTCATTTGTTTGATGTGTAAAGGGTGTTGAGCTACTAAAGGGTCCATACTCCCAAGACACTACGGACAAGGAGTACGGGTATGTGGGAAGACATTTTACTAGAGAGAGACGAAGAGGCGCGGACGAAGACGAACCGGAAACGACTACATTCTGAACGAGAGAGAGAGAGATCAAAAAATCGATTCAGGGCGAATGTTAGATAATGGACCTGGATAGCTATGGCAAATATATTCGCGCAACTATCTACCCAGGCCAAAAGAACAAAAGGTGGAAAAAGGAGATATGGGGAAAGCCTAACACACGCCCAACGCACGGATATCAAAAAAAGTTTTATACTAATATCCTATACCCTTATCCCGCGTGTGTGTGTTCTGAATGTGTGTGTGCATATATCTATAGGTGTGTGTATATGCGTGTGTGCGTGTGTTTGTGCATGTGCGAGTTAGGGTGTTGTGGGTGGGTGGGTGTCTGTGTGTGCGTGCACCCGTGTGCAAGTTAGGGTGTTGTGGGTGGGTGTATGTGTGTGTGCTAGTGTTAGTGTGTGCGTGTATGTGTGTATGTGTGTGAGTGTTACCATGCGTGTGCGTGTTAGTACGTGTGTGTGTGTGTGTGTGTGTGTGTGTGTATGTGTGTGTGTGTGTGTGTGTGTGTGTGTGTGTGTGTGTGTGTGTGTGTGTGTGTGTGTGTGTGTGTGTGTGTGTGTGTGTGTGTGTGTGTGAGTGTGTTGTGTGAGATTAAAGGGGAAGTATACCCTAAAATCAAATTTTCACCAGTTGTAGTCTTCTGGGTGCTGAGTCGAATGGTCTTGGTCCGAAGAAACTGCGACGCTCCCTTCCTACTTGAATCCCAATCGAACCCGCGCACTTCCACCGAAACTGGGTGACTGCGCCCTACTAGATGGGGATTTGTATGCAAAATGTCACTAAAAGCGCCATTTCGTTCTTATAAAAGCACGGATGACCGCGATTGGCCCATATGTTGTAGTCTTTTGGACGCTAAGTCGACTGGTTTTGGTCCGAAAAGGCTGCGATGCAGCGTTCCTCCTTTATTTCCAATCGAACATGGTTGAAGAAGCGGTCACGTGCTCCTGCGTACACCAGTCACCTGGTCACCGTGCCTGCAGGGTACAACTTACTAGCCTGTTTGACCTTTCTTGGGTGCAGTCCTGTCACTCGAGTTGAACTCGAGTTGAACCTTGGTTCAAGCAGTGAGGTGAGGATAAATATGGAAATAGAGATAGTGGGTGTGCGAGGGGGGGGGGGTGTGGTGTGAATGTGGGTGTGTGGTTATTTGTGTAAGTGTGTATGTATATGTGTGTTCCCGTCTCTCAGCTCAATATGTAAAAAGACCAAAATGTGTCAGATAAAAATGCAAGCGACTAGAATTAGATGTCAACTTCAAAACGTGACAAATATTATAGGGTTTCCAGGTACTTATTCGGGGAACACAGCTTCCAATGTTTACAATATTTACCAACTAGGACGAGTTGTTCCTGCTCTTTGGATTATTAGTATTGAAGTCGGATACTTTGACCTGCATGGCATTAGAATTGCGCTTGGAAGTTTTGTTGAAGTAAGTGAATCATGGATGATCTTGACTGGACTTCGGACGGGAGTGTCGACTCTGATACACTCCCACTACTTCCACCCTTAGTGATATGGACCATCAGAAGGTCAACTATGTATCCTCCATGGCCGAACATACCAGCTTCTGGTACACCTTATACAGCTCATCAACACGTATACGCCGTTGGTGGGAATGAAGTAGTGACATCAGAAGCCTCCTTTGCCTATAATGCAATTCAGCATACATCATTCACTCCTCGGAACGTAGCATCAGTTACCACCAATTTACCGCCAGATCATCCACCGTTGGACCTAGCAGACATTCAACCTCGACTAGAGTGCCAAATGAAGGAAGATACAAACCCTACTGAGCTTTCAGCAACAGTTGTCGAAAATCTATGCTCTGATCCCATGGCATCGGCAACGGACATTAACCAAAGATCACAAGACAGCGGTAACCAAACTGTGAACTATCCAATCTCAATTTCCGATCACCACAAAAGACAAGGGCACGTAGATTACGACTCGGAAGAAGACAATTGCTCAAGCACATCTTCCGAAAAGGATCTTCAAAAAATCGGACATGTTCCAGTATCTCACCTAGCGCCTGAGGATGGCAAACATCATGATCATCAGAACCAGCATACGTCCGCGACGTATTCCGATGAAGACTCTCAACTTCTAGCTGACTTTCCTCATGACCCTACGTCGCTCAGCAAAGAAACCGTTGCGTCACGTGGTCGCCAGCATGATATGTTTTATCGTGCAGATTCACTATCTGGAGAAGGGCCTCATAAATGTAAGCATTGCGGTACATCATTTTCTATTCTATTCCGTTTAACATCTCATGAATGTGTACATCCAGGAAAGAAACCTTTCAAATGTAAAGTGTGTGATACCACCTTCAGTATGCGATATAATCTTGTCCGTCATGGACGAGTTCACTCAGGAGAGAAATCCTTTCCATGCATATACTGCGCTAAATCATTCAGTGAGAAATCCAGCTGTACTATTCATGAACGCATCCATACCGGGAAGAAACCATTTAAGTGTGATCATTGTGACCGAGGTTTTAACAAAGCTTCCGACCTTAGAGTTCATGAACGTACACATACTGGAGAGAAGGCTTACAAGTGTAAACGATGTGGCAAGTCATACAGGCAATTCGCACATCTCACTAGCCACAACGCATCCACACTGGAGAGAGACTTTACAAGTGTATTGAATGTGGCGAGGCATTCGCGTGAATGTTCACTCTCACAGCTCACCACCGCGTCCATACTGGAGAGAAACCATTTTCGTGTAAGGAATGTGGAAAGTCATTCACTAAAAAATCCAACCTAACAGTTCACGAACGAATCCATCCCTGAAGGAAACTGATCAAGTACCAGCGACGCGTCTTTCAATGCAAAAAAATACCAACAAAAAATATAGAAAATGCTATGTATTCCAGTTGATATCCACCGTTGCATTCCTTGTTTTCTATTTCAGTTCCTCCTGTGTAGGAACTGAAATAGAAAACAAGGAATGCAACCTTTCAATATTTAATGTGGGCTTTGCGCAGCAAAGCCTAGTTAGCCCATGCACACGCATGCTGGTGGTGGACTGCTGCGAGTGCGTGTCATGTGACCACCTCGTGATTAAGCCGTGTGCGCCGTGTATGGCCTGGCAAAATTTTATGGACAATCGTGGATCCGGCGTCTAATTATTTGGAGACGTGTTTTGCGGAGCTGTCTTTGTGCGAAGGAGCATTCTTTGCAGTTGCAGTGTCTGTGTCAAGTCAAAGTTTTTTCCCTCCCTCCCACCCCTTTTGAAGGGGCACTTTGTTTCTCCGGTTGGGGGGGGGGGCAAACGGGCCTCCTATTATGTCTGTATGTTGTGACGCCTGATGCCAGGCAGTCGTGTGAGCCCTCGGTGGGCGATTGGCTGGCCTCGGTGGCCGTTTGTGTGCCCTCGGCGGGCAAGATGATATCGGCCCACGGTGGGCAGTTTGCTTGCCTCGGTGGCAATTTGCGCACCCTCAATGGGTTGTCTGCTGGTTTAGCCCTCGACGGGTGGTTTGCTGGCCGCGGCGGCCATTTGAGCGCCCTCGGTGGGCAGTATACTAGTTTACCCCTCGGCGGGCGGTTTGCTGGCCTCGGCGGCCATGTGTGCGCCCTCGGTGGGCAGTATGCTAGTTTAGCCCTCGGCGGGCGGTTTGCTGGCCTCGGCGGCCATTTGCGCGCCCTCGGTGGGCAGTATGCTAGTTTAGCCCGCGGCGGGCCGTGGTGGCCATTTGGGCGCCCTTGGCGGGCGGATGCTAGTTTCAGGCATGCATCTTTACTCAATCAATTATTATCAAAGAGCATATTCTTGAATATTTGAATTGTCCAAAAGAAATCATGGCAACCCCCAACCCAATGTGTCTATTGTATGTTTGTGCACGCCATAGTGAGCGGTACGTTGTGCGGGTGTCTGCGTGTCAGAGCATGGGTACACCAGTGGCGTGTGCGTGCATGTGTGCGCTTGTGTCTGGCTGCATGAGTGCACGAGTGCCCAAGCTGGGCGTGCGGGTACACTTGGAGGTGCTTGCATGTTGACGGGTGCATGCATTAAAAACTAAATTGCGCTGAACGTTTGTGTATGGTTCATTTTTGATAAATCAGTCCTCTTTTATGTCGACTATCCTACTTCTTTTCGCTGGAAGAGGCGCTAGACTGTTTTGAATTTCGAACACGAAGCCAAAATGTGATGTCTAAATTTACCTTTGGTGTATGTGCAATAATTATTGTGTACTTCTCGTAAAGTTTTACTCCTTGTCCAAAGTCGTCAAAGCGTCATTTTACGAAGGTTTTATGGAGATGCAACGAACAAATTCTAAAGAAGGAGTTACCGGACAAAGAAATTACTATGACGGAAATGTAATGTGAAGAACCATAAAAAGAGCGATGGAAAATAATAATGATGAATCGATCTAGAGAATAGCAGAAAACTGGGTCTTGAGTTTTTGAGTACTTATTGATAATGATGTTGAAGAATAGCTTGAGATTTGCGGTTTTTCTTTTCCTGCCACTCTAAAAGCTTCTACTCTTGTAGGCTGATAAATATGGTGGTATGGTGGTAATATGGTTATATGGTGGTAATAATATTATGGTGGAATGGTGGTTAGATGGTGGGATGGTGGTAATATGGTGGTATGGTGGTAATATGGTGGTAATTATGGGGGTATGGTGGTAATATGGTGGTAAAGACAAACCAGGCAATACGGTCTTCAACTTCGTTTTACTCTTTTAAGTGTACAGTAAAACAGTACTATTTTTACCTAGCGTCGACGTACCTCGATTTACTGATTTATGAAACACTATCCCGATTCGCACTATGCACACAGCCACAGTACATTCAGTTCTCAATTCATATCTAACATGAAAGTTACACACTAGTCAGAACCACAGATGGCTTGATCAGTCACAACTTAAAGTCTCATGCCATCTCAGGCACTTATCAGGTGATACACAATCAAGTTAAATATTTTTTTGATTGTCCGAAGTTGCACTACCCAAAAATCTGGTGTTGAAGTGTCATACTGAAGTGCATGGCTAATCCGGTGTCATCCTAAAGCAATTGTGAAGGTGAAGGGGAAATTTTAGAGAGGGGCCCTGTGGTGTATGTGTGTGTGTGTGAGAGAGAAAGACAGTTCATATAATTATCTCTTTGCATGTGCGCGTGACTATCAAATAGTATAGTGCGGAATGTAGAGTTCTGGAAATAGACGTGGACTGATAATGTGACAAGTTAGCACAGAGTTCGCATACTTATTCGGTAAAAACTGGATGAAACAGTTAACTCACTACACAGCTATTGTCAGCGAGTATAGGGATAGTTCGTTTTGGAATTTGGATATTTCATATTGTTGGATACTTTTCCGTGTTAGGAAGGAGATCAAATACTTTTGCACGATTTTTTTTAATTACTTCAGTAAGTAAACCATGGCTGATTGTAACTGGACATCCGAGGGGAGTTACGCCTCTGGGAAACTCTCACCATTGCCACCTTTAGTGATATGGACCAGCAGAAGGTCAGTTGTGTGTCCTCCACCGCAGACGACACCATCCTATGGTACACCTTATCCAGCTCCTCACCGCGCACACTCCTTTAGTGGGAATCAAGTAGCGACCTCGGAAGCCTCTTCTGCCTATTGTACACTTCAGCATACCTCCTTCAGTCCTTGGAACGTACCATCAGTTGCCTCCAATTTACCGCTAGTTCATCCACCGCCGGACCTAACAGACCACGCAAGGGACCATCGACTAGAGTGCCGAAGGAAGCAAGATACAAATCCTGCTGAGCTTTCAGCAACAGCTGTCGAAAATCCATGTGCGTTTCCCATGACATCGGCAATGGAAATTGAACAAAGATCGCGAGAAAGCGATAATCAAACTGTGAACTATCCAATCTCAGTTTCAGATCACTACACAGTACACGGGCACGTAGAGTATGACTCGGAAGTACACAATTACTCAAGCACGTCTTCCGAAGTAGATCTTCAAAATATCGGACATGTTCCAGTATCTCACCGACCGTCTAGCTTATCTGAGGATGGCAAACATTATGATCATCAAAAGCTCAAGAAACAGCATACATCGGTGACGTATTCCGCTGAAGACACTCAACTTCTAGCTGACTTTGCTCAAGATCATACGTCGCTCAGCCAGGAAACCGGGGTCACACTTGATCGCCAGCATGATATGCGTGATCGTGCACATTCACAGACTGGAGAACAGCCGCATAAATGTAGGTATTGCAAAAAATCATTTTCTACTCAATCGAGTCTAACATCTCATGAATGTGTACAGCCAGAAAAGAAAACTTTCAAATGTAAATTGTGTGATAAAACCTTCAGTACGCGATACAATCTTGTTAGTCATGGACGAGTTCACTCAGGAGAGAAACCCTTTAGGTGTCATTACTGCGCTAAATCATTCAGTGAGAAATCAAGCTGTACTGTTCATGAACGCATCCACACCGGGAAGAAGCCGTTTAAGTGTGATCATTGTGACCAAAGTTTTTCCTACAGTTCCAGTCTTAGACGTCATAAACGCACACATACTGGAGAGAAGCCATTCAAGTGTAACGAATGTAAAAAGGCATTTATACAATCGTCACATCTCGCAGATCATCAACGCATCCATACCGGAGAGAAACCATTCAATTGTAAAGTATGTGGAAAGACTTTCTCCCGGAAATCCAGTTTATCAAGACATGAAAGTATCCATCCCAGAGATTAACTGATCAAGGATTGTCAAAAGTCTCTTAATTAAAAAATACTTAGAAGACCATGCAAACACTAACACAACAGTTTTCTTTTCAAGATAATGGAAGATATTAATTATAAATGCAGGTCCGTTTTGAAATGCAAGTAGCTCAATCTGAACTGCAAAATTCACTTCTTATACGCTGACTTCTACATTAATTTTGTGGCAACACAAACATTATCATTATCACTGTTTCACAGGGTTCAATTTTAAACCATGTTACTCAATTCACTTCTTACACATATTTCCACATGCAATGTTCTTAAAAAAAACTCAGTTTCGCTGAACACGCTGCTCGTTTTTGATAAAATCAGTACTTTTTGCATCTCTATTCTTTTGCACACATGCATGGTATGGATCCTTTCCCTAGAAGAGACGCTGTGCTGTTTTGAAGCTCGCACATGTTGCTAAATATGTGTTGTACTTTTTATCCTGTATGTACCTTCAGTCCACTTGGCATCGTGTTATAGTCCTTTTCTAGTCCCTAGCAAAACTCTTAAAATGTTGAACTCCAACGGCGAGCCAATATAGTTATGATGAAGAAGGGAAAGTACCAAATGTTACGAGTTATGAAAAACTGTCCACCAACGTAACCAGATCTTATACATTTAGCGAGTGCGACAAAATGGCACAAAATGTAGCTTTCAGAACCTGAACCTTCCAGGTTGGAAGTTTGTTCATTTGCGCCTTGGAGAAGTGTTTGACCTAGGTGTCAGGTCGCCGAATGTCTCAGTACGCCTTGTCAGTTTTGTGCAATTTTGTCGCACCCACTGACTGTATAAGCTCTGGTTACGTTGGTGCACAGTTTGTCGTAACTCGCAAGATTTTGTCCTTTTCCTTTCTCCATCTTAAAATGTTCTAAAAAAATAACTCAATAATCATTTGCTTGAGGGAAAAATGACTTACTGGCAGGATTCGAACCTGTGACAATCGCGTATGCCCAGCAAGCACTCTACCACTTGTGATCATCCAAGCGGCGACCGTTCACCGTTTTCCTCACACTTATAATCTCTCGCGTCCTGTGAATTCACACAAGCTGGTGGCATTCTAGGAACGTACATGACGTTTAGTGTTTTAATTGCAGTTTTTGAGCTACTGCAAAATGGTTTTCAGGTGCCTGGTGTCATTCGTTATCCTTTAGCTCCACCAAAATTGAGGAGGTATGAATAGCCCCTATCAGTGTGTCGAACTGTGCAAGGTGCAATAGATTATGTAACATATTCGCAGCACTTCCTATATCATTGCAAGAGACGATCTAAATGATGCCTCTATTCATAGCAGACACTTTGTGGGTAGATTCTAACAGCAAGATGTCTTAGCTCACATCTACTCTTGTCAGGTATGGGAGCGCCAGCTTGAAGATGATGTTTCAGCCTGGGTGATGTCAAACCAAGTTTTATATAGGCGAAGAGATCATGTGTGTGTGTGACGGGGGGGGAGTGTGGGCGTGTTTGTGTGGGTGAGTGTGTGTGTGTGTTAGTTTGTGTGTGGATGGGTGTATGTGTGTGTATCCGCGCGGGAGCGAAGGGTGTGAAAAGATCATAATGTGTCAGCTAAATATAAGGGCCTAGGAATACCATGTTAAAGATTTGACCATTTAGCCGAATGTTCTTGTAATTATTCGGGAAACACAGCTGCTGCTGATAACAATACTTGCCTCCTAGGACGAGTTGTTCCAGTTTTTTTGGATTATTGGTACTGACGTCGGATACTTTTCCTTGCATGCCAGGTGAAGTGCCCTTGTAAGGATTGTTGAAGTAAGTGAATGATGGACAATCGGGACTGGATTTCGGAGGGAAGTGTTGACTCTGATGCACTCTCACCACTTCCACCCTTAGTGATATGGACCAGCAGAAGGACAACTGCGTGTCCTCCACCGCACAATATACCATATTATGGGACGACTTATCCAGCTCTTCAGCACGTAAATCCCGTTAGTGCTAACCAAGTAGTGACCTCAGAAGGCTCCTTTACATATGGTGCGCTTCAGAATACCTCATTCACCCCTTGCACTACACAAACATCTACCTGCAGTGTGCTTCAAGAATATCCTTGGGTAGGAATTGCAGAAGACAATTTCAGGCACCCTCGACCAGAATTCCAAGACAAAGATACGTGGACTAACGAGTCTTCAAAAGCAGCTGTTGAGAAACCATGCTCTAATCCAATGACACCACCAGTGGACACTGACCAAAGATCGCAAGGCAACGTTCACCAAACTGTCAACTATCCCATCTCGTTTTCAGACCACTCCACAGGCCACGGGAACGTGGATTATAACTCAGTAGATGGTAAATACTCAAGAACGCCCTCCGAAGTGGACCTTCACAATATCGGACATGTTGCAGTATCTCATCTTGCGCCTAGCGTATCTGAGGATGCCAAACATCATGATCGTCACATGCTCAATACACAGCATACTTCGGAGTCGTGTTTTGAGGAAGATAGTCAACTTCTAGCTGACTTTCTTCAAGACCACACGTCGCTCAGAATGGAAACCCGGATGTCAATTGATCGTCAGCATGATATTGGTGATTGGGCAAAATCACATCCTGGAGAAAAACTGTATAAAAGAAAGTGTTCCGATAAATCATTTTCTACTCTATCCCGTCTTACATCTCATGAACGACAACACCCAGAAGAAGAACCGTTTAAGTGTGAAGTGTGCGATAAAACCTTCACTAGACGATATAACTTGGTCTCTCATGGAAGAATTCACTCAGGAGAGAAACCCTTTACGTGCAAGTACTGCCCTAAATCATTCAGGGTGAAATCCAGACTTGCTATCCATGAACGTATTCATAACGAGGAGAAGCCCTTTAAGTGTGATCATTGTGACCAAGGCTTTTCCGACAGTTCCAACCTTAGACGTCATAAACGTATACATACTGGGGAAAAGCCATTCAAGTGTAAATTATGTGGTACGGCTTTCGGGGATTCTTCATCCCTCGCAAAACACCAACGGATCCATACTGGAGAGAAACCATTCAAGTGTGAATTGTGTGACAAGGCATTCAGGCATAATTCATCCCTCACAAATCATCAACGCACCCATACCCGAGAGAAACCATTGAATTGAACATTTTGTGGAAAGTCTTTCTGTCAGAAATCCAATCTAACACTGCACAAAGGAATACATCCCTGAGAGAAACTGATTAGCGATTATGACAAGTCTTTCAATCGACAAAAAGAACACTTGGAAGATCGTGCAAACACTAACACCATTAAACAAAATACTTTTTTTAAGAAAATGGAAAATGTTCGTTATAGAATCGTTTTGAAATGCAAGTATCCCAATCTGACCTCCATGCAAAGGTCACTGCTTACATGTTGACTTCCACATTTGTAGCATCACAAACATTATCATTATCATTGTCATTGTTTTAGAGTTGATATATTGTACAGTTTCTAACCATATTATTCAATCCACTTCTGACACGTATTTCCATATCTACCATTCCTAAAAAATGCTCAGTTGCGCTGAACATGCGGCTCATTTTTGATACCTCTGTACCTTTTCGCCCATCTTTATTCTTCTGTACACATACCTGGCATGGATCGTTTCCCTTGAAGAGACGCTGTGCTGTTTAAAAATTCGCACATGATGCTAAATATGTGATGTACTTTGTACCTGTACATACCTTTGGTCCCATTTATATCGTTATTGTCCCTGTTGAAACTCATAAAATCTTCTTAAAAATATTATCTCAATGTTTATTTGCTTGTGGGAATGTGCAAACAAAAGAAAGTGACACTCACGACCAAAAATCGAACATTATGACAATTGATTATGCCCAGCGATGCTCTTCCACTAAGCACTCTACCACTAGTGGTCGTCAAAGCAGCGACCGTTCAACATTTCCCTTTGCCTCCGGCGGATCCACAAAGCTGGTGGGAAGCAAGGAACGTACATGACGTTTAATGTCTTAATTTTGGTTTTTGTGCACAGTGAGAAAATCAATATGTTCAGTTCCCTTGAATATTACTTTATAATACTTATAGCTCCACCGACAAGTTATAACGTGACGAGGTGGCAAGAACAACCTATCAGTGCAAAGAACTGGGTATTTTTTTGTTTTACGAGAAGCCAAAAACCTCGTGAAAAGAATACTGCATGGTAGAGGTGGCCGCAGTTACAACTGTGGTGGGAAAACTGCAGCATCTCCGCCGACATGAGGTCTCGTATTGCACAAAAGATTTCAGAACATATACCTTGCACTACTTATCACAATAGGCGATATCAATTAAGTATCTCTTCATCATCTGAATATTATTTGTAGGAGTCTCACAACGATTTGTCTCAGATTGCGTCACCTCTTGTCTGGTTTTGAAGAGTCAGCGTGAAGGTAATTTCTCAGCTTGGGTGATCACAAATAAGCGTTCATGTGAAGTTTTAAAAACATCGAATTAGAGACAGTGTGTGTGTGTGTGTGTGTGTGTGTATGTGTGTGTGTGTGTGTGTGTGTGTGTGTGTGTGTGTGTGTGTGTGTGTGTGTGTGTGTGTGTGTGTGTGTGTGGGGGGGGGGGGGGGTGTGGGTGTTGGTGTGTGCATATTTGTGGGGTGAGTGTTTGTGTGTATGAGTATGTATGTGTGTGTTTTCGCACGTGAGCTCATGATGTGAAAAGAACATAATGTGTCAGTTAATTGTAAGGGCCTAGAAATAGATATCAACTCATTGACGTGAAACATTAGCAACGTGTTCATGTACTTATTCGGGAAACCCAGCTGCTACTGATTACAAACAATACTTACCTCATAGGACAAATTGTTCCTATTCTTTGGATTATTGGTATTGAAGCATAACTACCAGCTTGAGACAGGGCTACCTGTCAATAGCCGGGAAAGTTGCCGTAGAGCTTTCCCCGCCTGTGCTGTCCCTGTATGGAATGCCCTGCCACCCGCCGTCCTCAGCCAGCCACCTGACTGGAAACGGCTGCAAAGTTTCAAAGTGTCTGTCTTCCGGCACCTCCGTGCCCAGCAATGGCACTGGGCGACTGACACTTTGTAAGATGTATGCACATCTGCCCACACACTGCTGCATATTGCCATACGCCTCGTGCCCTGCTTACTCTTTTCTCTGGATCTGAATGTGCATCCCTTACGCATTATAAAATTATACTATAATTATTTAGTTCTCTCCCCCTCTCTTGCCCCCAACCCTCCCCGCTCGCGCTCTCTCTCTCTCTCATTTTTTAAATACTTTATTTAGTTCTCTTATTTAGTTCTCTTGCTCCCCAACCCTCCCGCTCTCTCTCTCTATCTCTCTCTTTCTCTCTCTCCTCTCTCTCTCTCTCTCTCCTCTCTGTCTCTCGCCTCTCTCTCTCTCTCTCTATCTATCTATCTATCTATCTCTCTCTCTTTCTTTCTCTCTCTCTCTCTCTCTCTTTCTCTATTTCTCTCTCCATCTCTCTCTCTCTCTCTCTCTCTCTCTCTCTCTGTCTCTCTCTCTGTCTGTCTGTCTGTCTCTCTGTCTCTGTCTATGTCTCTCTGTCTCTTTCTCTCTCTGCTATTGGCGCGCCTGGTTGTGATGAAGCCGAGACCCAAGGTCGGCAGAGCATCTCAGACCACGCCACCACTCCCCTTATTCATAGCTCACACATGACGGGTTTACGTGGCTCTAGTAAAAAAAAAAAGTCGGATACATTGGTACTTTGGTACGAGATTTGCGCTAGGAAGGATTGCTGATGTAAGTGAATCATGGATAATTGAGACTGGACTTCGCAGGGGAGTATTGACTCTGATGGACTCTCACCACTTCCACCTTCAGTGATATGGACCTGCAGAAGGTCAACTGCGTGTCCTCCACCGCAGAATGAACAATCGTCCAGTATACCTTATAATTATAGCTCATCACCACTTATACGCCGGTGGTGGGAATCAAGTAGAGAACTCAGAAGTCTCCTTTGCCCATTATGCAAATCAGCATACCTCGTTTACTCCTTGGAGCATACCATCACTTACCACCAATTTACCGCCAGATCATCCACCTCTGGACCTATCAGACATTGAACCTCGACTAGAGTGCCATATGAAGGAAGATACAAACACTACTGAGCTTTGAGCAACAGTTGTCGAAAATCCATGCCCGAATCCCATGACATCGGCAATGGATATTAACCAAAGATCGCAAGACAGCGGTCACCTAACCGTTCACTATCCTGTCTCAGTTTCAGATCACCACACAGGACACGGGCACGTAGATTATGACTATGAATAAGACAATTACTCAAGCACATCTTCAAAAACAGATCTTAAAAATCCGGACATGTTCCAGTATCTCACCTAGCGCCTGAGGAGGGCAAACATCATGATCATCAAAAGCTCAAGAACCAGCATACGTCCGGGACGTATTCCGATGAAGACTGTCAACTTCTAGCTGACGTCCCTCATTACCCTACGTCGCTCAGCAATGAAACCGTTGTGTCACGTGATCGCCAGCGTGATATGTGTGATCGTGCATATTCACAATCTGGAATAGGGCCTCATAAATGTAAGCATTGTGATACATCATTTTCTACTCTATCCCGTCTAACATCTCATGAATGTGTACACCCAGGAAAGAAACCTTTCAAATGTAAGGTGTGTGATACCACCTTCAGTATGCGATATGATCTTGTCCGTCATGGACGAGTTCACTCAGGAGAGAAAATCTTTCCATGCAAGTACTGCGCTAAATCATTCAGTGAGAAATCCAGCTGTACTGTTCATGAACGCATCCATACCGGGAAGAAGCCGTTTAAGTGTGATCATTGTGACCGAGGTTTTTACAAAGCTTCCGACCTTAGAGTTCATGAACGTACACATACTGGAGGGGAGCCTTACAAGTGTAAACGGTGTGACAAGTCATACAGGCAATTCGCGCACCTCATTAACCATCAACGCATCCACACTGGAGAGAGACCTTGCAAGTCTAATGAATGTGGCAATACATTCGCGCGAATGTTCAATCTCACAGCTCACCACCGCGTCCATACTGGAGAGAAACCATTTTCGTGTAAGGAATGTGGAAAGTCTTTCACTAAAAAATCCAACCTAACAGTTCACGAACGAATCCATCCCTGATGGAAACTGATCAAGCACCAGCGACGCGTCTTTCAATGCAAAAAATACCAACACAAAAAATATAGAAAATGCTATTATTACATGTCGGTTTTGATCCGCAAATAGCGTCAATGCCGTTTACAGCTCAATCTGATATCTTTGCAAAATGCACGGCTTATATGCTGATTTCAACAAAATTATAGCATTCAAAATATTACTTTTACCGTTGTATTCCAGTTGATATCCACCGTTGCATTCCTTGTTTTCTATTTCAGTTCCTACACAGGAGGAATATGTTTCCATATTTATCATGCATTTAAAAAAAACTAAATTGCGCTGAACGTTTGTGTATGGTTCATTTTTGATAAATCAGTCCTGTTTTATGTCGACTATCCTACTTCTTTTCGCTGGAAGAGGCGCTAGGAAGTTTTGAATTTCGAACACGAAGCCAAAATGTGATGTCTAAATTTACCTTTGGTACTATGTGCAATAATTATTGTGTACTTCTCGTAAAGTTTTACTCCTTGTCCAAAGTCGTCAAAGCGTAATTTTACGAAGGTTTTATGGAGATGCAACGAACAAATTCTAAAGAAGGAGTTATCGGACAAAGAAATTACTTTGATGGAAATGTAATGTGAAGAACCATAATAAGAGCGATGGAAAATAATAATGATGAATCGATCTAGAGAATAGCAGAAAACTGGGTCTTGAGTTTTTGAGTATTTGTTGATAATGATGTTGAAGAATAGCTTGAGATTTGCAGTTTTTCTTTCCCTGCCACTCTAAAAGCTTCTACTCTTGTAGGCTGATAAATATGGTGGTATGGTGGTAATATAGTGATATGGTGGTAATATGGTGGGTTGGTGGGAATATGGTGGTATGGTGGAAATATGGTGGTATGGTGGTGATATGGTGGTATGGTGGTAATTATGGGGGTATGGTGGTAATTATGGGGGTATGGTGTTAACATGGTGGTAAAGACAAACCAGGCAATACGGTCTTCAACTTCGTTTTACTCATTTTTTAAAAGTTTCATGCCATCTCAGGCACTTATCAGGTGATACACAAGAAAGTTAAATATTTGTTTCATTGTCCGAAGCTGCACTACCCAAAATCTGATGTTGAAGTGTCATACTGAAGTGAATGGCTAATCCAGTGTGATCCTAAAGCAATTTTGTAGGTGAAGGGGACATTTTAGAGAGGGACCCTGTGGTGTATGTGTGTGTGTGTGTGTGAGAGAGAGAGAAAGACAGTTCATATAATTATCTCTTTGCATGTGCGCGTGACTATCAAAATTAATAGTATAGTGCGAAATGTAGAGTTCTGGAAATAGATGTGGACTGATAATGTGACAAGTTAGCACAGAGTTCGCATACATATTCGGTAAAAACTGGATGAAACTCAATACACAGCTATTGTCAGCGAGTAGGGATAGTTCGTTTTGGAATTTGGATTTTTCATATTGTTGGATACTTTTCCGTGTTAGGAAGGAGATCAAATCCTTTTGCACGAATTTTTTAATTACTTCAGTAAGTAAACCATGGCTGATTGTAACTGGACATCCGAGGGGAGTTACGCCTCTGGGAAACTCTCACCATTGCCACCTTTAGTGATATGGACCAGCAGAAGGTCAGTTGAGTGTCCTCCGCCGCCGAATACACCATCCTATGGTACACCTTATCCAGCTCTTCACCGCGCACACTCCTTTAGTGGGGATCAAGTAGCGACCTCAGAAGCCTCCTCGGCCTATTGTACACTTCAGCATACCTCCTTCAGTCCTTGGAACATACCATCAGTTGCCACCAATTTACCGCTAGTTCATCCACCGCCGGACCTAACAGACCGCGCAAGGGACCATCGACTAGAGTGCCGAAGGAAGCAAGATACAAATCCTGCTGAGCTTTCAGCAACAGTTGTCGAAAATCCATGCTCGTTTCCCATGACATCGGGAATGGAAATTGGACAAAGATCGCGAGACAGCGATAACCAAACTGTGAACTATCCAATCTCAGTTTTAGATCACTACACAGTACACGGGCACGTAGAGTATGACTCGGAAGTACACAATTACTCAAGCACGTCTTCCGAAGTAGATCTTCAAAATATCAGACATGTTCCAGTATCTCATCGAGTGCCTAGCGTGCCTGAGGATGCCAAACATCATGATCATCAAAATCTCAAGGAACAGCATACATCCGCGACGTATTCCTCTGAAGACACTCAACTTCTAGCGGACTTTCCTCAAGATCATACGTCGCTCAGCCAGAAACCTTGGTTGTCACTTGATCGCCAGCACGATATGCGTGATCGTGCACATTCACAATCTGGAAAAGGGCCGCATAAATGTAAGTATTGCAAAAAATCATTTTCTACTCAATCCCGTCTAACATCTCATGAATGTGTACAGCCAAAAAAGAAAACTTTCAAATGTAAAGTGTGTGATAAAACCTTCAGTAGGCAATTTGATCTTGTTCGTCATGGACGAGTTCACTCAGGAGAGAAACCGTTTACGTGTAAGTACTGCGCTAAATCATTCTGTGCGAAATCGAGCTGTACTGTTCACGAACGCATCCATACCGGGAAGAGGCCGTTTAAGTGTGATCATTGTGACCAAGGGTTTTGCAACAGTTCCAATCTTAGACGTCATAAACGCACACACACTGGAGAAAAGCCATTCAAGTGTAATGTATGTGTAAAGTCTTTCTCTTGGAAATCCAGTTTAAAAGAACATGAAAGACTCCATCCCTGAGAGAAACTGATCAAGGATTGTCACAAGTCTTTTAATTAAAAGACACTTAGAAGACCATGCAAACACTAAAACAATAACACAACAGTCTACTTTTCAAGATAATGGAAGATATTCATTATAGAATCGTTTTGAAATGCAAGATGCCCAATCTGAACTCCATGCAAAAGCCTCCGATTGAATGCTGACTTCTAAATTTGAAGCATCACAAAATTATCTTTGTCATTGTGTTTAAGTTGATATAATTATTGTACAGTCACTACCCATGTTACTCAATGAACGTCTTACACGTATTTCCATAGGCAATGTTCATAAAAACGTCAGTTTCGGTGAACATGCGGCTCATTTTTTATAAAATCAGTACTTCTTTGTGTGTCTTTATTCTTATGCCGGATATAGATACTTTCCCTAGAAGAGACGCTGTGCTGTTTTGAAGTTCGCACATGTTCCAAAAATAATATGTGTGGTACTTTTTTCTGTATGTACCTTTAGTCCCTTTTGCATCGTTATAGTCCTTTTCTAGTCCCTTTCACAACTCTTAAAATGTTCAAAAACTAAATCAATAATCATTTGCTCGTGGAAAAAAATGACTTACTGGCAGGACTCGAACCTGTCACAATCGTTCACGCCCAGCAATGCTCCACAGCTAACCATTCTACCACTTGTGATCGTCCAAGCAGCGACCGTTCAACGTTTTCCTCAGACCTATAATCTCTGGCTTCCTGTGAATCCACACAAGCTGGTGGGATTCTAGGAACGTACATGACGTGTAATGATTTAACTGTAGTGTTTTTAGTTACTGTCAAACTCACGGATTCCAGTTACCTATTGTCAGCCGTTATCAGTTAGCTGCACCACAATTGACGAGGTGTGAATCACTATCAGTGTTTAGAACTGGGCAAGGTGCAATCGATTATGTAACATATACGTCGCACTACCTATATCATATTAAGAGACGATATAAATCATGCCTCTATTCATAGCAGATACTTTGTTGGTAGATTCTAACAACCAATGTCTCAGCTCGCATCTCCTCTTGTCAGGTATGGCATCGCCAGCCCCCCCCCCCCACCCCCCAAAGCAACGCAGCGGTTGGTCCATTGCCATAGTTTCCTGAATTAATCTGGCACTCACTCACTCACCCTCCCTCATTCACCCCCCCCTCTCTTCCTCTCTCTCTCTCTCCCCCTCTCTCTCTCTCTCCATTGTCTGGCTCTCAGGTTCTCACTTTTCACACACAGTCTTTCTTCTCTCCCTTTCCCCCATGGTGCGTGATATGCGCCTTGATCCCGAGACCATTGGTCGGGGGAGCGCACTTCACCTCACTGGCACAGCTCAATAGCACCTACACGCCCATTGTAGTCCCCTATGTTCTCTTGATGTTGTTGTTGTTGTTCTCTTCCATTCTATGTAGGCATGTGCAGTTTCATAACAATGAAAATGAAACAGGGTATCAGCGATAGGACTCTAGTGGAAGGTCTAATTCTAGTAGTTCCAGCCTGTGAAATAAGCGCCGGCAGAGGGATTGGGTGCCAGTGGGCTGCAGGTGTTAGGATAATGGCGGGTATAGCGTTAGGAGATCTTTGAGTGACGGGCAGGCATGAGCAGAGTGGCATAGCATCGATAAAAGCAGCGGATTGTGATATTGGCACGGGCTGAAATCGTCAAGCCCGTCGAATTGAGAATTTACTATCAAAGTGCACTTGAAGGTAATGAATTTCCAAATATCCCACCTATAAAATATTATGCTGACTAAGGTGATTCGTCATTTTCTAACATTGCATCATCTATTAACAAATCGGTAAAATATCTCATTGCCAGCGCCTTCAAAAAGTCACGTGAAATTTCTTTTTGCTATTGTCATTGCCAATGTGCTGTCCAGTTTGCCTCCAAAATTGAAACTGATAGTCCTTTAGGAAGTGACATTGTAAGAGCTTTCAGTCTGCATGTGCTCGATTTTACGGTAAAATAGAGCATAGTAAAAGATCCATCGCCGCTGGTTTCAACCTCCGGTGACAGCACATTTAGCTGAGGAGGAAGCATGTGATAGTCACATACTAGGAGCCACGCGTGGGAAGGGGGGATGTCGGTGTTTTGACCCTGGCAATGGCCACTGAACTCACTTACCGATGTTGACTGCAATTGCATAATGCAATCATGGTGATACACTCGTTGCTATGCAAGCTTGAATGGCTTGTATTTGGATCAACATGACCTTGATCCAGTCTTGCTTGACCACGCTGGATATGTAGGGTCTCTTTCTATTGAAAACTGACTTGAAATTGTGACCCTAAAGCCTATTTTACTATGCTGTTAAGAAATGACCACAAAAATACTTGAAGTATAATGTGGAAAATCGCCTTTTTTCAATTGCCACCTGCCTCCAAACACGAAGGAGAATGTGAATGCACAACCCACCATTGCAATCTAGGGGCATCAGTATTATATTATCGGAGGAAGAAATGGACAGATTTGCACCTCGAACCCTACAGAAGGCTGTTTTACTTTCGTGTTAAATAATGACGAATCACCTCGTGCTTTACTGGACTTTGCTTAAGCATCCCGACATCACAATCTCCTGCTGTAACCTAGCGCTAGCGAATTGAACGTGCAATGCGTATACGATATTGGTGATCTGAGCAGAAGCTGAAAGAGTAATGTTCCGATTGGGAAGTAATGGAATCACACGGAAAGCATGAATGCAGAGGCCATTGTCTGTGTTAGAACTCTGGGCATATCTCCTGCACTTCCAGCTTAGTTGTAGAGTTGCGGCCTGTGTAGGCATTGGACGTCTTGCGATGCCCCAAAGGTCCAATGTTCACAGCGATAACGTGCCGACCTGCCGGTATGGTACTCACACTGCCGGGCTCCGTCGATTCGCAAATTCCGGTGAGCAGAGCTGGCAGGAGCAGGTTGATATCGTCGCTCTGAAACCAGAATATGTCTATCTTGCTTGGCCTAGCGCACTCCTTGCCATCTATGAGGAAGAACCAGCGAGCAAACCCATTGGCTGTTCGTGAGCGAATGCTGGCCGAATACGACAACTTTAGGAGAGTATGGGGGTACTTCTTGTCGAAGATGATGGACGCTAACTGACCCTCATCGCGATCATTGTTGATGCTGTGAAGCTGCTCGTACTTGTATGCCACCGCTCCCATGGAACAGCCGGTACTCAACAGCTGAAATCACAGAAAAGAACAAAATGTAGATTAACACGAAACACACGAAAGAAGATACATTCGTGCAAAGGTGTGATGCTGAAAAAGCGCTTAGTCCAGGATAAAGAGCTCTTTCACAGCGCATAAAGTCTGTTACTGCACATCCTGATTGATCAATTCCTAATCGAGAGAGACTATCCAATGATTTAATTAAACAAAACAGTACCGATTGTTGGCGTGTTCTTGACTCAGGCTACCTTATTTGAAGACATTTCCATTGCAGCTTTCCTTGCAGGTACTCACCCGCAATTTCTTGTGGATTGCAAATTTATAATGGCGGAATTCTCTTTGAAAGTCGTAGAAGTCGTTGATTGTGAAAGGAAGCGCTGTGGAGGGGGAGTAAAAGCAGTGATAAGCAGAGACTTGAAAAACAAAATCCATGGTATTGCCTACACAGAGGAGAGATCAACACTTTAAGTAAAGTATTCCTACAAGTGCATCAAAGGCACAAGAAAGGCTTTTTAAACGAATTTGGCCGAAGTATTCATTACCGTATTGTGCGGGGCAGAAGCTGCACTGGAGTATATGCAGTACCCGCATTTGTTTGTCATGCAATACAGACATCTATCCTATTTATTACCGTTCATTTATTCATCAGTGTATAAGCTGCACCAATTCCCCCCCCCCTTTTTGGGGTGAATTTAGAGTGTTGAAGGTGCGGCGTACCGGTATACTGAGGCAATGGTGCCAAACGGGACTAGTCTGAAGAAAATTCACTGTCACAACCAGGGCATGAACTGTCTGAACCCTCGCTTATGGCCAGCAATCCAGTACCACTAAGCTATGTGTAGTCATCATCCAAGCAGCGACCGTTCGAAATTTACTTCTTTATAATACTTCGAAAATCACGCTTCCTGCGAATCCAAACAGGCTGGTGCGACGCAGCCCTCACTCCACTTACAAAATAGAACCCGAACCCCAAACTCCGATTCCTTTACAAGGGTAATCATTGAGGTACTTGTGACATTGCAGATCAACAGTCCCCTACCACACCGCTTGATGCTTACATTTACGGCAAGAAACTTAGAGTTGCAACAAACCCCCAATCCTTCTTGGTGCCTTCGTTGAGTGTACGTCTATGTTGGTTCTGCAGTTGAGTGTACGTCTATGTTGGTTCTGCAGTTGAGTGTACGTCTATGTTGGCTCTGCAGTTTTACTTTATACTACATAATATGTCTGGTAATCAGATTTCAAACAGAAATTTGTAACCAGATCAGCCCCAATAGTCTTGAAAATAATCCTGCGGATGCTGTTTCCAGCTTCATAATCACACTCACACACGTACATATACATAATGCACACACACGTACGCACAGACACGCAAGCACGCACACACACCCCTACCCATGGCCCTGTATGGGTCACTCCAAGACGTCCGACCCTAATCTTTACTTACCAGTTTCACAGTAGACGCCAGTGTAGTAGGGACTGCACTGGCATCGGTAGTCATACTGTCCGTTGCGTAACTCGACCAGCAGGCACTCTGCACCGTTCTGACATGGCCGCCACGTCTTACAAAGCTCGTGTCTGGCGTCTGATAGAAAGAGGTCACATTGTTAGAGCGCGAAACACGAAAACAACTCTTGCGACCTTACAAAGTACATGTAGTTGCTCACAGCAGCCTAGTGCGAAATTAATGATATTCAAACTGTATCCTCATTGGTCAATTCTAGGGACTATAAATATTGCGAACTTAGAAGTTGCGACTTCCGCGGTATTATTCATGAAGTTGGTTTTCCAACGAGGAACAGACGCTTCTTCCCGAACTTGACACTTGACTGACTCACGACTGCTATCCGGAGCACACAAGGAGCACGTCGCACCGTCCACTTGGCAAACCTGCAAGAAAGCACTACTCCCTGCTCAATACATCGTGTTTCTCTCCTGGTGTGCCCCAAATGGAGGTCGTGAGTCAGTTAAGTGTCAAACTAGTTCGGCAAGAAGCCGGTGTTCCTCGTTGGAACAACCAACTGTATGATGTAAAATTATTGCGTCCTGATAGTACTGTGTCAAGTACAATAGTCAGTCCCGGTGGTAACAGTCAATATTGCCTTGAGACTTTTCCCGTTTGCAACTGTCCCTTAAACTGATGAAGAAAGTACAATTTTGAAACTCGAGATGTTGAGCCAATAACAAACGTAGAAAGGAAAGGGATATTATGAGTACGAGTTAAGAGTAAATGTCCACCACTGTAACTACTTGTAGATACTATAATACAACCAGAAAGTGCACCAACAAGGCACGGAACTGACAGGCACTGACACATGTGATGCCCTGCCACCTAGCTCTAACACAAATCCGAAGCGCTAACCAACCCGTCGGCCTTTAGCTTGTACTACTAACATATCGCGTATGAGTGGCAGACATTGGGTGTATCCCAAGCTGCGAAATGGAGATGCCCCGGCAAAGTACCTTATCATTATTTAGAGCCCAGATTTGTACGTCTGCGAGAGCAACCGGACATGCACAGCACAACAATGATCATACATACCCTTCTTGTTCCAGGAAACACTGGGATAATTTGAGAGAATTGCATGACCCGTGTACCCGCAATGTCACCAATGTAGTAGAACTGTAGTTCAACTTCCTCAACCTTATGAAGGCAATGAAGTTCATCGGCCCATATTTCGTAATGGTTTGCAGCGGCCTTGAAGAGTCACACCTGGCTGCAGTCAACTACCCTTCAATTTGTGCGCTGCTGTTATTGCTATCTATGTCACTGTGTATGCCAGTATAGTACAGCCTCTTTTCGGGCAAAATAAACACAATGAATGTGTATGCCAGTATAATACCAGTTTGCCAGTATGACAGTTTATCACTCTCTTAGTATTCACTCCCATTGATTTTCGCTATACCTAAGTAGTCAAATATTCCTGCATATTTCACTCCTTAGGGCTATATTGACTGCTTATATTGGACTGCTTAGGGGTTGCGCAGTTGAACTGTGCCTAGTGAAGCATTGTCACTGCATGATTAGGTTGTGGTGCAACGGTTGTGCAATCATAAAACCGGGATTCATGAGGTTATCGTTCTGGAATGTGAAATACGGACTGTTTGTCGTGATAATTCAATTTTGACTTCGTACTTGGTCAGTATAGGAAATAAAAACCTCGTAAAAGACCTCGGCTTCGCCTCGGTCTTTTACTCGGCTTTTATTTCCTATATTGACGTCGTACTCAGTCAATATTAGATACATAATGTGCAGCGAAAAGTACCAATTCCACCAATGTTTACTGGCGGCATAATAATCCGTCCGGGGCTAATGGCAGAAGCACATACCTCATTTGTCATAATGCTGTCTTGCGCACCCAAACAGTCCAGAATACTTACGAAAGCAATCTTGCATAACTGTCATCTGCGACACGGATGCGTTGAAGACCATAGACAGCCCTATGGGCCCGTACGTGAACTGTTTCGTGGGTGAAAAATAGGAGACCTGCATGTTCACTAACGCGGCCAACTCGTAAATCCTTAAGGCAGTTGATGGGTCGATTCCTACTCGCTCTAGAGTAGTCCTGAAGCAACCGATGGGGTACGATCCATTGAACCTGTCTGGGTATACCACGGGGTGGCTATCCAACACTGGACGAATACGAAAAGCATTACGAATAACAGCAGAATGCTATGCAGAATGCAGAATGCCATGATTTTTATTTTCGCTTGAAATCTTTTTTAAAGATTCACAAATTTCATAACAAAATATGTTTTAAAATGGCTGACATGAAACCTGAGCATGCACACAGTCTCCAGGGAAGAAACTTTGAAATAAAAAGGACATTGAAGTGATATTTCTGTCAAGCCCACTGTGCTGAACACACTGTGACAGTGTGGTCTACACTGGCACACGTATGTGCATACACAGACAGACATGTACACACAATTATACTTCACTCCAGATACAGTGGTCCCTCTATAATCCGGCACCATTTGTGCCACGGAAATCTGCTGGATTAGGGAGGGTGCTGGATTAACAAATCTGATCTACTGCTGCAATGTGCATGAAGAGGACATTTGGCTACTGAAAATTGTGCTGGTTTATCGAGGGTGCTGGATTATAAAGTGCCGGATTAGAGAGGGACGACTGTACAACCATAGTCATAGGCATAGGCATGCCCTTTCTTAGTGGTGGATAATAATATCTCCATGGACTCCACTAACGGAAATTAGCAGTAGTTGTCGGCGAGGAACAAGCCATCAGGAGGCCACACACGGTGAATATGGAGAGGTATAAAATATAATTATAGCAAAGCGGCCTCGTGTATATTGAGATATATACACCATTTATAAAAACCTCGGTTCGCCTCGGTTTTCTTACTGGTGTATATACCGTAAAGTCTTGTATAAAAGCTTCTATGACTTTCTTGATGAATTTGTGCAGGCTTCTATATGAGACAAGCTTCTGTACAAGACAGGTATTTCTATGTATGTCAACATTAAAACCAGGCTTATGTGTGATTTGATTGGCCCAAAATTGCGGCTTCTATTCGAGGGCGGCTTCTATTCAAGTGCGGCTTTTATGCAAGACTTTACGGTATCTCGATATACCCTCGGTCCCTTGTTATAATCTATACATAATCACGCGGACGTGCATGCACACGAACCAGTCATGCAAACACAACCACATATACCAAAACTCACATGCACATGTGCATAAACGCAAAAACATACGCACTCACGCCCTCTTTGCATCGTGCAGTGTGTGTGTGTGTGTCTAGTAAGAACGAAGAAATGGAAAATAGGGATTCACTGGTCAGAAAAAGTTGCCTCGATTAGCTGTGTGGTGCAGACCAGGCTGAAATTAGTGGCGGTCAATTCATCAGCTGTGCAAGCTGTTGAATGGTGTAATCCTAGCACAAGGTGCTATGCCTAACATAGCTGTTCGCTGCCCTCGCTTCCGCGATGGGCAGTTCTGAGGTCTGAGATAAGTAGAATAACACGCGATATGCGGAATACGCTGTTGGTTAAATCAGGGAGTACTAGTAGTATGGTATTGCATTACTCCCTGTCCGGAGTCCCTGGGTTAAATACCAACACGTCGTGGTATATACTGTACTATGTGGCGTTAACTGCAACGCCCATCATAATAATTATGTCATCGATTATTATTTTTGATGATTGTGTGCTGTGGAAAAGAGATGATTTGACAGAATAACTCACCTTTCACGCTAAGCAGTGACAGCAGGCCGACGCACAGGAAGCCTGAAATTCTCCAAAGTGGTAGTAATCCCGATGACATCATGCTTGTGAGCAACATGTCAACAGGCACGCAGTTAGAACGCTCCTAACCCTCTTCTGTCGTTTACCGTTCTGCGTAACGCTGGCATGTATTCCACTACTGATAATTCCCTGTGGCCATGACCAGGATTCAGCGAGTAAAAGAGCGCTATAAGATATTATCTTTGTTACATGGCATACCACACCACGGGTTGCAAAGAGAAGGGAATCGCTGAGACGACACCACGTACGATCTATGCCAGATGTGCAAAGTCACTTTGTAGGACCGTTAAATTTTACTAATGATGCCAGCTTTGCACCTAAATCTAACACTTCCCGTGGGGAAAATGGTCTCTGGAGGAGTGCATGCCTGTACATTCAAACCGTGTAGTCCTACGCGTTCCAGACTGTTACATTCTACAACTCACCAGTCAAAACAACAACGAGGGCCAGGAAGTGCCACATCACTTTCTACACCTACCAAAGTAATACACGCATATAAACGGATCACGTCACACTTCCAAAGATCATGTGCAGTGTTTGGTGAAGGCCAGGGAGTCGTATAATAGTTCCACAAGCTTGAAATGAGTGAGACGTCGCATCCCGTCTTTTTTCTCGGGCTTCCGTGTTCTTTTGACTCCCTGGTTAGCGTGAACGCCGGCCCCTTCTTTTATCTATTGACGGTTGAAAGTCTTTTGCTGTGTGGCTGGGCAAATACTCCAACCTATAATGGCGATAAGTCGCAGCTAGTATAGACTTAGCCATTGGCAAGACAGAACTAGTTACTGTGTCCCTTTGTAAACACAATGACAGAATGTTCGGTTGCGTCACTGTTTCACGGATAGACCTAAGACTAAGCAATAGACAAATCCATGACCGGTGCCATGCCGTCACCGCTCTCAGCAGTGCCATTCGGTGCTCTATGAGGCGTGTGAGCTGAAGGAGGGCTAGCGCTCTAGTCTACGCTTCCCTGACAGTAGAGAGGTTGGGATGCACGTGATGTCTGACGTGAAGCGAAAGTAACAGTTGAGCTCGCGTTATTCGGCACGCGCGTTGAAAAACAACCCGAGTGACCTGCAGCTCACGCCGCAATTTTTAATTAAAATTATTTGGAGTTTACGCCAGATTTGACGTGAAGTAATTGTGCGTCACGTCGGAAGTAACGTGCATCATAACCTCTGTAATGCAAGGGAAGCGTAAAGAGCGCGTCCTCAGCTCATACGGCCTCATAGAGCACCGAAGAGCATTTTACCCCTCTATTTAATGACAGTGTACATGTACGTTGCTACAAGTACCTGGTGAAGAATCATACATCGACACAAAGGTTCCATATCGTTTCTCGCCGGCTTCAATCCCACACCTCCCTTGCAGCACTCTTCACTACCATGGTAACTATAACTCAACTCCTGTTTGCAGATCACATGTCATTCAAAGTCAGCCGCACTAGATATTGGCCCTCCATTGTGGTCAATACGGAGAAAATCTTCAGCTCATGGCATGACGGATAATACAGCGTAATTAGAATAGTGTAACTCCTTTGCAACCTCGTCAGAATGGTTAGGAACCGTCCTCTCCAAACTTCTCCTATTCCCTAATGAGGCCCTCTTGGTCGCAAATCTGGAAAGATTCGGAGAGGTTCGGCGATGTATGTTCTGCGCAGCAGTCTACAGTGGGTTCAAATGAGGATTATCATGTTGGGATACTGTTACGAGTATATGAATCAATAATGAACAATAATGATAGTTGCCTTCGCATGGCTATAAGAAGCAGCACTAGTATCTCAAACCAAGGAATTGGGGGTAGAATGATGGGATCCAAGGAATTGAGATAAGATAACTGACTGACTGCCCAGCATGAAGTACTATGGTGTACCGGCCGTAAGGCTTGCTTCATTGAAATTACCAATGGAACAGTGCAAACTTTCCAATGGCATCTTGCAGTCAGAAGAGTGTGTTCACAAATCATCTTATTTTAAGACTACATAATGCTCCCCATCTCGGTGCAAGCTGTCGCAACTCTCTCTCTCTCTCTCTCTCTCTCTCTCTCTCTCTCTCTCTCTCTCTCTCTCTCTCTCTCTCTCTCTTCCCGAGTATACACATTTCTGCCTAGTTATATTCTATGAATTATAAAACACAATTTCCGATGCAAACTATGCATGAGTAGACTCTGGACACCCAGACGATCCGTCATTGTCTTGTCAACACCTTCTAATACATCATATGATAATAGTTGTCCTGTCCCAAAAATTGCATTGGCATGTGTACTATATTGGTCTCTCGGCACTAGATGTCTTTCAGTATTCATAAACACAGATCTATACCAGCATAGTATGTGTTCATCAGTGAGTGATCAGAGAAGACACACTTTCTCAACCTCCAGCAGAGACCTTGAGAGTTGCCTCAAGGTTCTTTTTTACATTAATGCTTCGGCATATGTACTATACTGGTCACGCACAACCGGCTATCTCGCAGTAAACAAGACTGGATAACAATTCCAGTATGGTGTGTCTTTTGCTTAATCACAGGTCATGGGGGACACACTTCCTCGACTTCAAGCAGAGACATCGAGAGTCGTCCCGTTTTGGCATCTCCGGCTTTCAGCGACCCCAAGCCGCCAACATGAACTGAGATGTTGTGCTTGCCTGATGGTATGGGTCCAAGCCGCAGATCCGTGGACGCGCATATTCCTGACATTGTGGATGGGATGAGGATCTTCCAGGCCTTGTTCTGATAGCGCACCATGTCAATATTGCTGGGAGAAGAACACTCCTTGCCATCTATCTTGAAGTACCAGCGCGAGTAGGCATTAGCAGTGCCCAACATTGTACCTGCTGTGTACGTCAGCTTGAAATATGAGAGCGACAACTTCTTCACGTACTCGACGGAGGTGATCATTCCTACATCCGTGTCGACGTCAGTGCTATGTCCCGCGTTAAACGTGTAACCCAACGTGCCGAGGTTGCAACCTCTGGTCATGTACTGTGGATCATACGTGCACTCACACAAAGACGCACACACACACACACACACTCAAAATATACAAAAACACAAGCACACAAACATGCATGCACGCACACATACACACACATAACTATACACAAACACACGCACACACAAGCAAAAACACACACATACATATGCGTGCACGTGTGCACATTTGCACTTACTCAGTACCAGGAACTGGTCCTTTGAATCTCCAATTGGGTAAAGGCAAAGGTATTCAAAAAGAACTTGGAGTGTTGGGTTATTGAGCTGCTAAGTGGCAGACACCCCCTAAAATCCCCAAACTCAGGGTGAACTTGAAAACGATACTGCTCCTACACCGCATTAACAGTGGATGAGAACATGGTGCAAAAAGGATAGACAGCATTACCGTATGGGGGAGGGTAGTTGACTACATGCCAGCTCTATGCTTACCTTGGTTCTTTCCTTTGTGTGCCTCATCATGAGCGCTATTTCAGCTTCTATTACCCGGAGGTCCCGGAGAGGGCCAGAGCGAACTGCGAAGATAAACAAACATCAAATCAACTAACTCCTCCAGACATTTCTACCTCCTCCACATTCTCTCTCTGGCCGCACCTCATCACACCAGCAACAGGACTCCAAGTTGTAGATACATACACTGACAAATCTCTCTCTCTTTTCTTCATGCCAGACGTGAGCCATCCCCTGGATCGACAAAATGGGTGCTATAATATATTTATTTATTTATTTTTATTCATTGTGTTAAAAAAGGATACTGACAAATACAATTTCCATGTGAAAATTTGAATCTTATTTTAAATTAATTATTTTGGAGGAATTTGTAGCCGAGAGACCGTTTTTGGGTAGTGGTGTATAACTGTGTGAAAACTGTGGAATGGGGAATGTGGAAATGCTATCAATGATAAGCAGGTGGAAAGCTGCTGCATACCCTGTGAAAACACCTCTAGACTGTAACACACAATGTGCAGTCAGACCTTGCTAATTCCGTCCTCTTTTATCCGGATCCCTCGCCATCCGGAAGAAAATCGTTGGTTATTGATTTACAGCATAACGTTACGTATGTCGCGTCCATACAGTATGTGTGTTCGATTATCTGGTTCCCTCGCCTATCCGGGTATTTTAGTGGAAAATGGATATGTGCGGTTAAGCGAGGCCTGACTCTATCAGTGCATGCACTGCCATGGGCCATGTTTCACATCCGGGAACACGTGGTCGAAGAGTTCGGCACATGAAAATGCACTGCCCCCCTATACACATGCACACAATCCTATCATGCCCCCTTTCTTGTACTGCTACAGAATTTAACCCAAAAGCAATGCTGCTCGCTGAAATCCAATTGCGTGAGTCGGGTTTGTGGGCTGGACCATTTCATAGCGCAGTACAGTGTTCATAGGTTCAGGTCTTTGCAGCGCTCCAGTGTGTACTGGACTCGGCCTAACGGATTTCATTGAGCAGCAAAGTTTATCGACTGATATGCGTTGTACTTTGATGCATGGAGTGGCAATCTGATACTCTTCAAGCCACTACGTATTTTTAAAAACCTAAGATATGATGTAATCGAACTTGAAATGATGATATACTTGCAAGTCAGGGTGATGATGTACGTGATCATGTCTCAAGTGATGATGTAATCACACCTCAAGTGTTGACGTAATCAAACCTCAAGTGTTGATGTGATCCCATGAGCTCCAAAGTCGGATTTTGGAAGACGACTTCACTTCTTTTGTCAAAGCGTTTTTTGTAACTTTGAGTGTGCTTGAACATACTTACTGTGTTCGCAGTACTCTCCGTGATACAACGGTGGGCAAATGCACAAGTAATCCAGGTCCCAGTCTCTATTGCGCACCATACGACAGAGGCCACGGTTATCGCAGGGCTTGTAGTCAATGCAAAGCGGGGTCTTACGACCTTCGAATTACGACAAGAGAACAAAAAAAAACAGAGCTTGTTGATTTTCCTTGCTGTGCAAGTCTACTACGAGGCTTGAGTAGGATCTACGCAGTTAGAATCATGTCACTACACCACGTGTGTGGCCCGTTCCGGCTCTATTCCACTGGCGTTCGAACACTAAATGCCTTCCCATCATTGTACTGTGTCCTTTGAAGCAATGATCACACATCCAGAGGCGATATAATACATGTGGTACCAGGATGTCGGGTGGTAGTGTTTTACGGTGGTAACGGTATGCCACATGAATACCAATTTACTCTGGGTCTGGATGAGAGGACGGGGGAGGGGGGGGGGGGGAGCGGCGTCTTGGAGCATTTCGAAATTTAGACCTAAATCAGTGCATTTCCATGCCTCTACATGGTGGGCAGTTTCAGCTATGGTACACACGACTCTCATTTGTCAGACTGCATACAGACGCACCCATTATCCATTTTCACAATGTTCAGGAAAGAACGCATGTGAGTGTGTCAGGTAGACAGATACATGCACTTTGCGTGCTTGGTTCTCAGTTCTTTTTTGTATGTGAGCCATGCCCGGGACTCAACACTACTTGTCACCCCCTGCTTCAGGGATATGGGGCCAACGTTTGAAGGCCAGACTCGCAACAGAACCAAAGTTATGGTCTATAGTGGTGCATCACATGCATACCAGTTGAACTCGTCTGGTAAAAGCCCAAAGGGTTAAAACACACTATTATGGTACATGCACTCACGAAAGCATTCTTGAATCAACACAGCATCCTCGACCGATGCGTTGAGCTTGATCATGAGATCCTCGACACGCATTGTGGCAAAGTTGTCGAGACTGATGTTGTGACTCAGTGCTCTCTCCTCGTAGTAAACAGAGTAGTTGTATTCAAACCCCAGATGCTGCATGGTCTTGATAACACAGTTATGGTGTGGGTCATCACCTGCCGGTGTACAGTACAGTGCAGAGTTGAATAGAATGACGTAATTGTAACATGCATGACGTCATCATAATTATCATGCACGACATTTTCACATCATACATGAGGTCATCACATCCAACAATAGAGCTTTTTCAAGGATGCAACGCAGTGCCTGCCAGTAGTGCCCACCCTGAGATGTAAGTGAACAGGTCCCTCATTGATTGAAAAGTATACGAAATGTGACAGGTCCGTCTCCATCGGCGCTTTGAGCGATTCTGAAGCTTGTTCTTTCTCGCCCAAGTCATGGAAGGGCTTCCTGGCAGCATCTCTGACTCAGCTCGAGGGACGGACATAAAGTTGAGCACCATCCTAGTGCTTCTTTCACCTCCACGCATCCATTCCCGTACAACCTGCATGTGACCTGGGCTTTGCTTCTTCACCAGCGATTCAAATTTCAAACATTTCTTGCACGACCGTTGTCGTCCTTGAAACAGCTCTATACTATAACATCACATCCTCATGAGGTCATCACATCCTCATGAGGTCATCACATCATACATGAGGTCATCATACTAATATTATCCCGCTATGCACATTGTTTTCCATAATAATTATTAATTTCAGCAAACAATCCCGCTTTCACCACATACCCCTGGTCGAACAGAGACTCTTCACTGATTAATAATAAAATAAATTTCACGGTTCGCATGAGAACCGGCTAGAAGCCGAGTTTACACATCCGCTGTGGGAACGCCACCACCCTCTCGGATCAAGGCGCAGATGCAGCGCCTAAACGGTGGGAGGTGAGTAGATCAGACCCACCACCAAGTGGTCAAAGACCAAAATCCCATTAGCTACATCCATGTTACCCTCGTGCCAGGCCACGCCTGCTGAGTTCCAAATTAACTGTGGGTCGCAGCATGGCTGGAAAAATTCCTTCCGTTTCCAAACAGGACTTGAACCTGGTACCATCTGTTTCTCAATCATGATCTTAGACCATCCCACTATGCCTGCCTATGCTCTTCACTAGAACTACTTTAAAAACTCGGATGTTCAGCCAATAGTACTTGAAGTAATCATGTGAAGAGAAAAAGGACCTATAAGTTACTAGCTATGACTAACACTCCACCTAGGTAATGAGAAAATATACAGCCGGCTAGTGCGACAACAAGGCAAAAAACTGACATGGATGTTGAGACATTCGACAACCTGACACCTAGCCCCAACACATCTACGAAGGGCAAACCAACAACCATCCAACTTGGAAGACTCAGGTGGGGAAAGTTCCAAGGTTACTTTGGTCGACTGTTATTCATACCTAGTAACATATAGGTCCTTTTCTCGCTACATATTACTACTTTCAATGATTGTGAATATGCGAGGCACTGTGTGACAGTCGCAGCAACTGACAATGCAATGCTGAAGGTGATGTGCGTGTGCATGCATCGCTTCCGGAATTTCTGCTGTGTTACTATCCATTTTTTTGACATTTTGCAAAACAAAACACTAGGCTTGAGTACACACTGCCACTGCTATTCTTGAAAGTAAAACTTATTACCATGGGAGCTCTACCGATACAGTGAAACCTGTCAAGGCGACCACTCGGTTAAGGCGATCACCTGTCCTAGACGGCCAATGTAACCAAGACCAAGGGATGCTATTTCCAGTCAAATGACCCTGGATAAGGAGACCACCTGGTTACAAAGGCCAGATTTTGAAGGTCCCTTCAGCGGTCGTCTTAGACAGGTTTCACTGTACTAGTTCTGTCGCTCCTAACATCCATGTACCCTACAACTAACTTGGCGATCACGTCAGTTTTCCCCAACGCTTGTAATCGGCATGCAGCCTCACCACATCCAGATCCTTTCTTAGTCCAGTGTCTTACCTTTCACGGCGACCAAGAGGAGAGCCAGGGTGAATAGAGTCACAACTCCGTAAACTGACGAGCCGCGAACTACGCACATGGTGAATCGGTCGACAAACAATCACAAGCAAAGGTCCGTCCCAAACTGGCCTTCAGTAAAGGTAACAAGTCACCTGATAGCCAACTAACTACTTGCCTTTCTTTACCTTAAACAATAATGTCATAAAGGGTATTTGATAGCCAACTCATGGAATATCACAACTCCTGTTGTAATCCCCACTAGGCATTCAGTCTCTGGGTACGTGTACAGCAGGACAGACTTACGATGGATGACACGCATTGTATTATCGCTACAACAACTGAGCGGAAATATGGCAACACTTGTTACAGTGGCTCGCACAATGCAGCGCAAGTGTCAGAAACTGCTCTTCGCTCGTGTCACCTCTAACCATAGTAAGAGCCATTCGTTGATTTACTCGAAAATTGCATTGTACAAATCACTGTTTCGTGTTGGATACAACGAGCTGCCAAGTACAAACCAAACCCTGAGACTGGGCATGCGAATCCAGGCCACAGTGCTTTTGGTAGTGGGCGGTGTCCACACTACAGTACTAAGTCTTCGCCTTAGAATGTTGCATGCAACCCAAACATAGTTTCTTGTTTCCACCACTAGTACTACAGTTTGTAAAAACACTTCCATGCCACAACTGAGTCTGTCGATAACGCACGAACATGACGTGAGCTAACCAATCTTTATTGGTTTTCTACTGCTAGTAGTGGGAGTCTGTGTACATGACTTGTACTGGTGCTATTGCTACTCGTAGTGTGCCTTGCTCTTGGACCTGGTGGCTGACGACAGTCATTTCTATCTCTGGATGTTTGTTATGCCAGTGGCAGTACCGGTGTGAGACAAGCACTGCATGCATGCAGTGATATGATGTACTTCCACGTTTCCATGGTCGTTCGTGAAAAAAAAAGATTAAATAAATGTGTTCAAGCCGAGGCTTTTCCATGACACATCATGGCATGAGGACTCGGAGAATACGATGTCACATAGACTCTACGTATGTGTGGGATACTTACGCACTCCATTAAACTACTTAGCTGGTCTACATGTACATGTGTGTCCATCCTTGCGAGCACCAAAAAAAACAAGTTTTATTATTATTTGCGCCTCAGACAGTGAAGTCTTGCAATAGCCCGCGATGCCATGATGCCGCCTATCTATCTGTATGAGAATTGTGTTGTTCAATGAAATCCGAGCCAACGAGTAGGAATTGGCGGATAATGCTCGAAAAGGTGGCAGATTCTGCTCTAAAAGCGGTGAAAATTGCAGAACCATACAAACCTTATGGCGGGCAATTCCTCGAATTCTGCTCCATTTCCTTATCCACATACCAAACATGCATGAAACTTACCAGAAAAAGTACCGAATTCTGCCAATTTTCCTGCCAGCATAATCCGCCAGTGCCTAACGGCCGAGACCCCCTGAAATCCCTTACTAGGGTTCACATGAAAATGATCCCACTGATGGGCTCACTATACCTAAGTAAGTGGGTGAGGACAAGGTGCACAGAAAACGGATTAACGGCCGGCATCAGGGTATCCGTCCCGGGATCCAACTGCAGTTACCCCTTCCCCCAGTGAAGGTAATACTTGGTACTAGTGTGGGTGGCTAAATCAGAGTGGATCTGATATAAATTGCGGTTTAACCGTTCTGCCTGGTCTTGCCGTCCCGTCATCATACCAGGCCAGCATTCCATGAAGCCTTGGAATATACACATTGTGTTGGTGATGATGTTGTCAAACCTTTCAGACAGCTGTTTCTCATAGTGTTTCTTATTTCAGATAGATAATAGAATTTCCAAGCAAGTAAAGTCATTTTAATCGCTATAGGGTAACCCTGCACGATGATAGTTATTATGAGATGACTAGATAAATTGAGGTGAAACGTCTTAGTAGCATTAGGGAAAAGGATCGCCCTCGTAGTCGATATGCTTCCATGGGTAGAAGTATTGATGAGGTGCGCATACTTCATACACCTCAAGTAGTGTTGTCGAGAGACGTCCCGTGTAGGCGTTGGATTGCTTGCGCTTCAGCACTGGTCCAACGTTCACGGCTATCGTGTGGTTTCCAGGAAGGATGATGCCGCTATACGTCGTCATGGATTGACAATATCCAATTAGGACCGAGGGTAGAAGAAAATTGATCTTTTTGCTTTGGTAACGCACCATGTCGAGCTTGGCTGGCCACGCGCATTCTTCGCCATCGATCGTAACGAACCATCGAACGAATCCACCTGCAGTTGCGGACCGCGTGTTCGCTGAGAAGACAACCTTGAAAATTGTCGACTGGTACTTCTTGTTGATGATCAGGGACATGATCTCACCAGTGTCTCTGCCATCATTCCGGTTGTGACGGCTGGTATACTTGAAACCCTGCACCCGGTGTTGACAGCCGATACTTTGATACTGTATTGGCATTTCAACACAAGAAGAACATAGTGGACACAAGTACAGGTACTTCACATAGTAGAATGTTCCCAAAGTGCACCATAATCGATAAAGATCAATTTTCATTCCAGTTTTTTGTCAATGTCATCATGCCTATGCTTAAGAACCCTGATACCACATCCCCCCCCCCTCTCTTTCTAAAATTCTGTTTGCTTGATGTCAATATAATTCTTAGCAGAGGAATAGCTTCCTAACATAGGATATTGCGTCTTTTCCCGTGAAATCATCCCCAGCATACCTTCGCCTTCTCCAGCACCGTGTCATTTAAGTACTCTAAATCAGCTTTCAATGCTCCATACTGTGGCATAGTTGCTCCAACGACTGTGGAGACGACACAGAACATACAGAGAAACTCTCCTCAGGCTGCCCCAAGGTGAAGATACACTACTACTCAATGAGATCCAGTCACGTCACTAAAGTACACGCCGGGCGTTGCGCGTGCCCTAGGCCTGCAAACACTGGGCTGTGAAATTGTGCAAGTAATTAGTTATCATATAAAAACCTGTGACTAACGACCACCCATTGGGGCCAACGAGAGCGGGCTTTAGTGGCAGGTGGTCCTTAGTTAGAGGTTTGCACCGCACAACCATAATAATAATAATAATAATAAATGTAGAAAGGAAAAGGAAATACATGTATAGATACGAGTTGAGAGTAACTCTCCATCACTGTAACCAGATACTATATACAGTCAGAAAGTGCAACAACTAGGCACAAAACTGACAGAGCACTGAGACATTCGACGTCCTGACACCTAGCTTCAACACATCTCCATAGCGCTAACCGACAGCGTTCCAACTTGGAAGGTTCAAGGTTATGGGAAGACCAAGAAGGGGAAGGCAAGCGCAACGAAAATGAGCACAAGCTACAGTCCCAACGGAACAAAGGATGTTGATTGTTACTGGACTACGGAGATGTGTTGAAGCTAGGTGTTAGGACGTCGAATGTCTCAGTACTCTGTCAGTTTTGTGCCTAGTTGTTGCACTTTCTGACTGTATATAGTATCTGGTTACAATGATGGAGAGTTACTCTCAACTCGTATCTATACATGTATTTCCTTTTCCTTTCTACATTAATTATTATTGGCTCAACATCCGAGTTTCAAATAATAATAATACTAAATGAATGTGAGACCGTCCGTGCCTGGCGAAGTGGTCTGTAGTGCCAGGTTGGTCGCTAGTCCCGGTGGTCTTTAGTTACAGGTTTTACTGTAAAATTGGTACTGGAGGATGCACCCAGTGTGCTGACAGCTAGTGCTTAGCACTGCAGGGTCAGCTGATCAGAGCTTGATACACAGAACAACAAGGACAAGCGAGGCCAATTTGTCGCTACTCTGAGTTTCATGCTTACGTCATCATCAGGCAACAGTTGCCTGATGATGACGTAAGCATGAATCTCAGAGTAGCGACAAACAAGCCTTGCTTGCCCTTGTTGGTCTCTGTCATATCAATGGTATGTATTCAACACGCATGTTCCATGCTCTCAGGTCTGTTCTTACGTCGCTCGCAGAAATCTCCTTCATAGAGGGTTTCCGGCGGGCAGTGACATCGATAAACCCGCTCGTTGTCCCAAGGCCTTGTGGAGAGCCAGCACAATCCACCGTTCTTACACGGTGAATAGTACTGACAATCCAGAGTTCGCCGGGCTGCATACAAGCACGAGCCATACAAGAATGGAACAGAAAAGGAGGTTAACGCGTTGCCAACTGGCTCAGCCCGTCCTTCCCAATAACACAATTCACATATTGCATGCACTGCTAATCCATTTCTGGATGTGTCCAACACATCAAATATTTGCACGGGTTCGCGAACATACAGGAGAGGTCAAGCGCCGCCTTTCCGCTTCCATGGGATGCCACCACCCCATGATCAGGCGTCAGACGCGGCTCCAAAACGGCAGGGGAGGGTAGATCAGATCCACCAACCAGAGGCCAAAGGCCGTAAAACCCAATTGCCACATGCACCCAGCACATCAACGTGCACAGAATTCAGGTCTGTAGTGATCACAGTACGATGGTCAGAATGCAAGCTAAGGCCAGCGGTGAGGCTCGACACGTGCTACTCACACCACTTGCTTGCATCTACATGTAGCCCAATACCATGGAGGATGACTGGTGGACATACATGTACATGTGCCAGATATCGGTGGTAAGGCCATCATTTTTTATATCTATGTTTCGAGTCGTACGCACGCATACGTTTTCATGTTTTCCGAAAAATTAACAAAATCGACCTTGCACAGTGAGTATACGATCGTGCGAGTCATCAGTGTGGACTGGTTGCATACGGCGAAGCTGGGGTTCAGAAATGGGCCCGAGCAGGGAGTCGTCAAATACCATTTGACGACTCCCTGGTATTTGACGACTCCCTGCTAGCTATACACCTCAGATGAGACTATTTTTATTGTGCAACTTTTTTTTCTTTTTTTCCACCTCTTGCTTAGGATTCTGGAAGTTGAACAGACGCGAAACATAGATAAAAAAATGATGGCCTTATAGGCACTCAAAAGTGCATTTTGTCGAATGCCTCACAGTTGGATTTGGACACACTTTCATACCTAGGTATGTCATTGTCTCGATCTCAGGTTAGCAAAGGTTGGCAGGTGTGCGACGAGAAACTCCAGCCAGTCTCTAACAGGAGGTGATCTCCTTTCCTTTTTTCCCTCCGTGCCGTGACTGCCAACACATGGATGCTGCCAATCCTGGTACGGTCACTTCTGAAACTACCACTCCTGAAACTGCCACTGCTGATACTGCCTTGGATGCCATCTGTGACAAAGGCTGTAGGGCTTCTCTGGCCTGCTCTCATGCTCAGCTCGCCTCTAGGATTTATGGGTGACTCAGACTACGGCCAAAATCACGTGTGAACTTGAATTTCCATGGTGATTCTTGCGTGTTTCAAAATTGTATGCACAATCTCTGATCAAATACATCTGAGTCGGGGAAACATGGTGACAGTAGGCCGTAGTTTGAATCGCCTATAATGCAGGCTTGTGTATGTACATTTTACATTACCCGGATACTCCACTGCAGCCAATTAATCATCTCTCCAACACCTTTCACAACCAAGGTCTTCCACTGCAATCACAATTAAATCGGCCTCCAAGAACTCCAACACAATTGCAACTAAATAATAATAATAATATTCGCGGGATCCGCGTCGGCATCGCTTGAATGTTCAGAAACACACAAACTAGCCTTCGCATCCGCAGGCCACCACTATGCCTGTTAACCTTAGTGGCGAATGCAGACCTCACAAGTGAGTCAGGGGAGAGGAGGTTAGTCTCTCAACCAATCGGGCGTGTAACGGCCCATAACCCTGTAAACTGCATCCTTGTTATTCTCACTCCGAGCTGTGAGTACCCAGTTGACCGTGGGTGTCGGCGCAGTTCAACACGCGTAAAAAGTCTTTTTACACGCTCCCTGCTCCCAGCGCGGGTCTTGAACTCGGGACCTCATGATTCGCAGGCAGGCCTGCAAACCAATCGGCCATATGCGTTGCAACTAAAACAGTCTCTAAATACATAACATTGTAGTCTCCAAAGACGCCTCAGCAGCAAACATTTGGCGACTAATTTAATCGCAATTGCAGTGGACCTTGGTCGTGAAGATGTGGGAGAGATGCCTGTGTACGTACTTTGAAGCATGGTGTTTGGCGGTTTGCAGATTTCTAGAAAATTTGTAAAACTCAAACAGTTTCCCAACTTGTGGCGAAATGCATGTCTCTAATTTATGATACGCAACAAATTTAATGGTGAGAATTTCCCAAATTCCATTCAGGGGAATTTTATCTAACTTTGGTAGCTAGGCAAATAGAGTCAAATGCGTAAGAGATCCAGCTCCAAGGTGCTGCCTGAGACCACCGTCTGGTTCATGAAGATCTCAAACTTCCATGTGTATACTCCCCGCAGCCTGAACTACATGTGGGTCTGGTTTTCAGACCAGATAGCACTGCATGGAGTCACTCCAGTGCATACTGAAAGGCAGTATTCTCTGCATGCAGACCGGTCAGCAGTATCCTCTGCATACAGACACAAGAGCATTCTTCCCTACAAGCAGACCATAATTATGGCAGTATTCTCTGCATGCAGACAAGATAGCAGTATTCTCTGCATGCAGACAAGATAGCAGTATTCTCTGCATGTAGATTAGATAGCAGTATTCTCTGCGGCATGCAGACCAGATTATTTCCAGTGAACACACGATGTCGATGGTACTCACCGAAGCAATCTTGGAACATTTTCACATGACGAGGCGGCGCCCCCAGAAACAGCCCCATCAGATGTGTGTCGAGCCCTTTCAGCGTCTCCAGCCACAACTCCATTTTGCGCGCTCTCCTCTCATACTGACTGGCTGCATCGGCCGAGAAACCAGCCCGCTCGAAAAGTCTCATCATGCAACTCCCTCCTCTGTAATAAACAAAGACTGCGTGGAAGATGCGCAGAAAATAACGTAAAGACCATAAAAACACAGGAGAGAACGGGAAAGTTACACGATTTCTACTCAAAAGTAGTGGTAGCTTGAAGGATTTAACTAACTTACTAACCTCCACGGGGGAAAAGCACAAGGATCAACGCACAACTGAGCAATCCACGGGCTAAGCAGCCTGGGGGCGAGCGAGACGACAGCATGGTGGTGTCTGCAGGTCTTGGTGTGCACCACGCCGGTCGCTTGATACTGTGATGTAGTATGTCAGGTAAAGAGTAACAGTTCGCACATCCGCGATACAACCAGCTATTCAATCATTATAGTTACCATCTAATAGTCCGCCTGTTGAGTAATAGAATGCAGTAACACAAACCTAGTACACGAACTATAGCTCTAAGAGTAAGAGGGAAACCAAAACGTCGATCGAAATTTCATGTATCATAATCCGACCGCAGACTTCGCTACAATCATGGTCTTCCTATGTACAAACCTATTGGCAGTGCTAATGTTGAACTCCCAGAGTCCAGTTGCTAGATCTTGCGGGAGCAGTGCGACCGTGCCGTTCCTCTATGCCATTTATGGCCACTAGTAGTAGTACGAAGTATTCTATCTCCCAGCTGGCTGGGTGAAGTAAGCAGTTGGCGCTACAACATAGTTTTTTTTGCTAGTTTTACTTCCTGCTGAAGCACCTACCACGCCGTGGATTAGACTTTTTTCAAATTTTCATTTCGATTTCACCCCTTGTATCTTTGGTTTTCTTCCTTCTTTCCATGTCGTATTGTTTGAATAAACCCGTTTTGTATACCTACCACGCACACACATGTAGTTGTACCACGCACGCGCTCGCGCACGTGCAACTACATTGCAATTGTACTTGTACTTGTAGGCATCACGCGAACCTACATGTATGTAGCTGTATGTACGAATACATAGTCATTGTATTGTACAATGTACATGTAGACAGTTTAGGAATGAGAGGAAGAGCGAGCTAGCCTCTACTAGGCTCTAGTCTAGGTCTGTGCCTGATGCCGAAACTGCAAAAGTAAAACCCTGCATCGGTTTCCACCGCAGAGTCAGAATGGTGGTTGATGTCATTGTACCAACGACTTATGATACGTAGACTCTACTCTTCTTTCTTAGAATGACGCGAAACACTGATGGCATTGTGCAATGCCTGTGCAACACATCCTCAACGATTACAGTATTCAATACGGTTTTAGTTTCGTGCAGGTCTAGTCTGTCTACCTGTGCCTGTGGCCCGGCATGATGATGTAAACTAATCTGCAAGTCACGGTGATTCTGACTGTCACTTTTCAGTAGTGCTGGCGCTAGTGTCGCACCAGGTCCAAAAGAAAACCTGGTGCAGAACGCAATTGCCAGTAGCAGATAATGTGGCTAGCTGATACCTTATACCTGTACATGCCTTTGAAGAAGTGCGAAAACTTTGTGGCTTTGTGCGTGTTGCCTACACCAGGGAGTAGTACGACAGGGCATTGTACTACTCCCTGGCCTGCACACGTACGTGTCGTCACAGTCTGTGTATCTTGTCAGTGTATGCAATTATGGTGTAGTTCTATCTTTATCAACGCACATCACGCTCCTACAATGACGCTGTGCCTTGGACTGTATGCGTGTGTGTCAGACAGTCTCCCAGGCCCACGGGACCAGTTATGGCATTGAGCAAGACAAGTGTGTGTGTGTGTGCGTGCGTGTGTGCGTGTGTGTGTGTGTGTGTGTGTGTGTGTGTGTGTGTGTGTGTGTGTGTGTGGTTTGTGAAAAAGACCAAAAAGTAGAGATTCACTGGCCAGAAAAAGCCACTTCATAGCTATGTGGTGTAGACTAGGCTGAATAGTGGCGGTCAATTCTTCAGCCTTGCAATCTGTTGAATGGCGCAATCCCAGCACAAGCTGCTATGGCTCTGCTGTAGCATCGCTATCATCGCCTCCGGCGATGGGCGTCCAATGGTCCAATGGTGTGTTAGTCTCCCAGACCGACGGGACCAGTTACGGCATTGAGCAAGACAAGTGTGTGTGTGTGTGTGTGTGTGCGTGTATGGTGTGTGTCCTAGTAGTACAGTAATGACAGCTAACAGCATGGAAGTACCAAGCTTAGATATACGAGCAAGCGTATTGGAATCTTTTGGTAATCTAGCCATGCTCTGAAAAGCTTCTTTGGCATACCGCAGCAGGATAATCCCCCCCCCCCCAACACACACCACAAACACACACACACACACACACACACACACAAACACACAGGCATGCCCCCCCCCAAACACAAACAAAACTAGTCACAAAGTCATGCACATACAGACACTTCCCCACGCATGCAGAGACACAGACAAACAACACAGACAAACAACGTAAATAACCCACTCACGTAACTATGGCAATGTGATCTACAAATTGCAAAGCAGCATACCGTTGAAGATACGAGGAATTCTCGACAGACGCAGTAAAATAAGCAAGCTGACACACACCCAAACACACGAAAGCACACACACACACACACACACACGCACACACACGCACACACACACATGCACCCCGTACAAAACCATTGGGAGCAAAGTGCACACAATGAAGACGATGCGAGAAAGCTTTGAATGTTTCACTATTTGTAGCCAAGGTAGAATAGGTGTGGAATTTCAGAAGAATTGGACAGAGGAGCACTATTGTCGGTGTGAGAAGTGCTCTGAAAGCAAATATCAGCTCAATCAGTGTGTTAGCATCTAGTTAGCATGAAGAGTGGTTACTGCGATGCAGTGGTGAAGAAATTAATAAATAGGAACTATGGGCTGATTCAAGCCGACAGGTCACAGACACCTGTATGAGAATAGAAATGTAGAAGACGTGCTCTGAGCTACTGTTGGCTCACACTGCAGCCATTCAGTGACCACAGACGGCAAGCTAAATAAAATGTACACAAAGGGGCGAAATTTCTTTGATAAATCATATTATTGGGACTAGAAAACATTCTGGAGTACAAGTATTATGAGCGGGCACATCGTTCTCTTCACGGCATTAAAAATATATTAATCTGCTTGCATCAATCCTGCCATAGGGCTTCGTGATAATGTTTACGTCAAGTGGAATCCATAGGCTTTTTATAACAAAGTCAAAAAATCCATCAACATGTCAATTGTCTCCATGTTGAAGGTGATTATTTCTTACTGATTCGCACGTTAGGTCACATGATTTCTCAATAGGTGAAGACTACATTGTAGCCATTGTCTATTATAATGCAAAGATTCTCATGTAACGGTCTCTGGATTGCATGAACTAAGAGTTGTTCGGCAGAGCAGTCCTCAAGTGCTGACACCAATATACAAGCAAGCTGCTATACCAGTAAATGGACCAAATGAAGATGGCATCAACCAATCGTGATACTTAGTATTCAGGGCTATTAATTGCCAACGTATAGATGTGCTTTGCGGTGCGAAGTTAAAGCACTATTCTTCATGACCAACTGGCGTTTGGTGTGGCCAGGTTCAACCGGTCTTCCATCTAGCAGCGGGTGGAGTAGGCAAGGAAGTGGACTCTGTGTGTGTCCATGTCGTGGAGATAGGCTTGGTCGCTGATACCCACTGTTAGGGGTGGCTGAGAGGAAAGCAAGCAATAGGCATGGCTACGACCTTACTGGGACAGGTCTTGGTCCAGACGGGAGTACTGAGGCTTCACGAACACTATTACCGTTGTGCCGAACACCAGGACAGCCACCAGAGACCAATTCAACCACACCACACCTGCATGTTCACAATGAAAGACAACAACCAAGAACAAAGTCCCAAAAAGTAAGACTGATGACATGCAATGCGACCTTCACAAAGGTTACTCAGATGCACAAAACACATGCAGAAAGATAAGTAACTGACATTGGTATCTGGTTATTGCCTGGCAAGAGGCAGTTACTCAGGTCATTGCATCAGATAGCAGAGTGATTCAGAAGGAATCACGGAAACATGGTTTCAATGGCTATTCCACCAGCCAAACCGATGCTACCCAGACTAGTGGCGGCTTGAAAATAACACACACATGCACTCACCATCACAACGTGAGTGGTGTGCGAATGCACCCATGCGCACGTATGCACGCACCCACACGCACGCACCCACACCAATGACCCCCACCCCCTCACACACACACGCGCGCGCGCGTATCATGTATACGCCCGTCGCAAGAGAAGCACGCAAATCTGCAAATGCACTGGATGTGCACCAGCAGATTTTCTCTTTATAGCAACGATAGCGGATCTGATTCTGAATGAAACAGATCAAGCCTAGCGCCAGATAACTCCTCTAACCCACACAACCGGCAAAGTCATGTGAATCGACCCTCAATGCACACCTGGTCTACACCACACGGAGCATATCGGAAAAGGACGGCCAAGACCTATGCACCAATGCACATACTACACTTGCTGGTGTATCTAGTATAGACGGCATGCTGCTTTGATAAGCAGACACAAGAATTAAAAATAAAGGTAGAAGCACTGATACCATGAAGTGAATTTGAAGTGAATTCACCATCCAGCCTCGGCAACTGAGTACTGGGATCCCAGGGCCAACAACAGATATACCAACAGCCTCAAACTATAATAACGACACACTGGATTGAGGAGTCGAAACCAGTCCGACTTCCAAATGCTTTGGCAAGAAGGTAGCCTCCCAATAGGTTGGCAACACACACACACATACACACACACACACACACACGTACACACACGTACACACACGCGCACACACAAACGGAACCCAACACAGCGACTCACCTATTCCAGGTATATAGAGCAGGCCAAGGAAGATGACGACAAAGAAACAACTGAAGAAGGTCATGAAGACGGCCGTGATACCCTCAGCCACTGGATAAGATATCTCCACGGCTAACTCTAACATGATGGGTATGAGTCCGTATTGGAAGATGCCACCCAGGATGACAGCAATGTAGTATACTGCAAGCTCCCACTTGTGTGTTTCTGCAGGAGCAAACACACATACAGTGACATACAGTTAACCCCTTGAACAAGGACTTTGAATAGAACAGTAATTAGTGAATACCGGCACAACCTTTAGACATAGTGACCAGTACACAGTTTGACTACATTATTTTAAACCGTGGGAGAGCGACAAATCACACACACGCACCCATGCAAGCCCTCCACCCCCTCCCAATAGGTTGGCAACACACACACACACACACACACACCATTGGACCATTGGACGCCCATCGCCGAAGGCGATGATAGCGATGCTATAGCAGAAGCCATAGCAGCTTGTGCTGGGATTGCACCATTCAACAACTTGCAAGGCTGAAGAATTGACCGCCACTATTCAGCCTGGTCTACACCACACAGCTATGAAGTGGCTTTTTCTGGCCAGTGAATCCCTACTTTTTGGTCTTTTTTCATTTTTTTCCGCACACACATCACACCACGTGCACATACTCCGGCATGCACTGGCTGTTGGTAACCACCCAGGAGAATGAAAGAAAAGTCAGGAGAAGTCTGAGAAAGAGAAGAAAGACGTGTGTGACCATAATCGTCGGGAATCGAACCCGCAACCTATCGATTGGAAACCGCTGCACATACCACTGCACCATATGGGACACACACACACACACACACACACACACACACACACACACACACACACACACACACACACACACACACAGACACACACACAGACACACATACACACACACACACAAGCGCACACACTCACCTCCTGACGAGAAATGTCCCACAACGGACAATGCCAAGAAGGCAAAAATGGAGCCGACCAACACGACTAGGATCAGCTCTTTGTGACGACGAGAGTATTTGTCAGCAATCCTATACACAGAAACAATAACGAAATAGACTATGTACACAGGTACCAGCTTACAAGGAGACTAATAGGCCATTCACACGACGGGCAAACTTACTTTTATCGTACTGTTTCCAAGGATATTTACTCGGGTACGATAAACTTGGACACACGCGTGCAACTGATTTTTTATCTTGGCCGAGGCCCTTTTGCTCGCGATTATCGTTGCACGCCAGGAAAAGTGTCGGTTGTTGAAAGTGCGTACTGCCAATGCAGTGCATGAACAAGGGAAATTTCAAAATTGAACATTTCCCGGCATTTTCAGGGGGTCGCTATGGTTACATTGACGGTTGCAAAGTTTTCCCAGCACAGTGTGAACTGGATGACGGTTTGCCAGTGTTATCTTGATCACACACGTGCAAGTGTTTACACGTCGTGAGAATGGCCTATTAGGGCAAGAACAAGACAATAGCACTGGCATAATCAGCATAGAGCTAACATCAACACAAGCATCAGAATCAGCATCAGATCCAAGCTCGTGAAATGCAGATTATGAAGCCAGAAAGCCAGCAGGATGCACTGCTTGTCAATCAGTGTAGAACCGAGCCTTACCGTGCCATGAGGATGCCAGTGAAGCCACCTGCAATGGTGGAGTAGAAACCAATGAAGCCACTCTCTCGCTGTGAGCGCAAGGATAACAAGTTGGGAAGAACACACAAGCATGCAAGCGCATACCCATACACACATACACACGCACGCACACAGACACACATATGCACATACAAACACCATTTGACATCCATCAGAGGTGATGATAGCGATGCTACAGCAGAAGCCATAGCAGCTTGTGCTGAGATTGCACCATTCAACAGCTTGCAAGGCTGAAGAATTGACCTCCACTATTCAGCTTGGTCTACACCACACAGCTAGGAAGTGGCTTTTCTGGACAGTGAATCCCTACTTTTTGGTCTTTTTCATTTTTTTCCCCGCACACGCATCACACCACATACTCTGGTATGCACTAGCTGTTGGTAACCACCCAGGAGAATGAAAGAAAATTCAGGAGGAGTCTGAGAAAGAGAAGAAAGACGTGTGCGACCATAATCGTCCGGAATCGAACCCGCAATCTCTCGATTGGAAAACGCTGCACATACCACTGCACCATATGGCACACACGCGCACACACATGCACACACATGCACACACATGCACACACATGCACACACACACACACACACACACACACACACACACACACACACACACACACACACACACATGCACAAGGAAAAGTGTACGGTAAGCACATAGCTGTACTTCTTACTTGTACTGTTGCGAAAACACCGTACTCCAACTATCCAAACGAGTTCTCAGGAGCGAACTGCTACCCGGATACCCGCTTTAATTACGGTTCGGATTACAGGTAGGATTACGGGTAGGATGAGTACCCGATGACACCCCTACATGGTATACAAGTACATGCCCGTGTAGATACGCCAGAGAACAGAGACACAGCAGGGTTGTACTGACCTGAGAGACTCCATACATGCCGAGAATCAGCGACAGAACAGCACCCCAGCCGCTGAACAATCCTGGAATTGCACACACATGTATGCACACACACACACACACACATGCACACAGGTTCATGCACGCACGCACACACACACACACCACGCACACACACACATGCGCAGAAAATGGACACATGTGAGCATACAATACACAATTTCAAACATGGAAGCGTACATGAATCTATGCTTCGGCACAACACATAAAAGCAGGCCTGTTGCCCCCGTAGAGGTACTTCATTGACCCACACTGGCGAGATCTGATACACTCAAAGAACATGGCAGCTAGCAGTGAGCATTGTTTGTTGTAGTTGACTTTCCTCCAGCACAGAACAACGATCTCCTCACCAGTTATTTAAAGAAACGTCAAGGGGATCATAATTCTACAATGGCAGTAAAAAGAACAAAACTCTGCAGTCATAGCAACACTGTTATTATTTCAGTAAATAAATTTTACTATCACCAAGGGCACATAACCAAGAGAGTGCAACTCCTATCTCGAACTGTGATGGGTTCACCCACGGCGGAATTTTGTATAGTGCCATTCTTTGCCAGAAGTATGATCAAGTGTATATTCCCCCCCCCCCCCCCGCTTATTTTGTAGATACGTTGAGAGTTCATCAGGTTCCGGACACATCGATCCACCGTCCGTTGTTCTGCCTCGACTACCGTAGTTGTGATTTATAACTTATTTGAACTGATCTCTGGCTACGCATGATGGCATCAGTGAGCCAAATAGCTGCAAAAGACTGATGGTACCCGTCATCTCCATGAACTCTTTGCCGAACAAATGCACGAAGTATAAACACACCAGCACAGCAAGGACACGTCCGTTGACAGATAATTGCTACGCCTCTTAACAGCTGTTTCGCTCCTTCAAGCTCATCAGTAGAAGATGATAATGATGATAATGGAGTGGTGAGCTCTGCTGATGAGCTCGAAGGAGCGAACCAGCTGTCTAGAGACGCAACAAATACTTGTCTCCGGAAGTGTCCTTGGTGTGCTGGTGTGTTTATGCTTCGTGCATTGGTTCGGCTAAGAGCGCATGGTGGTGATGGGTTGAGAATGTAGTAAAGTGGAGTATGGCCGAAAGCTCGGTCGCAATATTTAAGTGTAAAGTCTGTTATAAAAATTCCGCCTTGGCTAGGTGATCGTCGAGTTGCACTCTGTTGGTTATAATACTCTTGTTAGCACTGATCATTCAAGTCATGAAATCTTACCATTGATCAAGCCGTAGACAACAGATATTACTATGTATGGTGTATTCCTGCAGACGAACACACACACACACACACACACACACACACACACACACACACACACACACACACACACACACACACACACACACACACACACACACACACACACACACACACACACACACACACACACACACACACACACACACACACACACACACACACACACACACACACACACACACACACACACACACACACACACACACACACACACACACACACACACACACACACACACACACACACACACACACACACACACACACACACACACACACACACACACACACACACACACACACACACACACACACACACACACACACACACACACACACACACACACACACACACACACACACACACACACACAGAGACACACATACCGGTACATGCATGGACAGACATATGCACATACATACATGTACACACACCCACATACACACACGTACACACACACGTACACACGTACACACACGTACACACACGAGTACACACACACGTACACACGAGCGCGCGTGAACACACACATACACACAGGGTTGTGGCAACTGTTGGGAAACTGCTCAATGCGCGGAGTAGAGAACTGCTAACGGATAAGAGAGGTGATCCAATTAGAATTTAATTGCAACTCCGAGATTGATACTCAACTAAAACTACTGATAGAAAACCCACGAGCTGCTCGATGTAGTGCAACCTAAATGTATGTGCGAGGCAAGTGGCAAATTACGAGTTACGAACAGGGTCAAATATTTGATTGGGGTGTCACCCATAAAAGTTGTTACCAACGAGCAGGGCTGCAACAGGTAGAGGTTTGGTCGGGTAACGAGTTCGGGTATTACTATCCGGGTAGCACGGGTGCCCTATCGGGTATTTTTTGACACAGTAAGAGTTTGTACAGTGAGTGTGCACTTGCGCTACATGGAACGTGTACAGTAGGCACGTAGCTGTGCTTTTTACATGCACCGTTGCGAAAACACCGTACTCCAACTATCACATCGGGTTCTCAGGAGCAAACTGCTACCCGAGTACCCGCTCTAATTACGGGTAGCACGGGTACCCTACTACTCGTTGACCCCCCCCCCCCCCCCGCCAACAAGAAGTAAAATCACGGGCTCTTATTAGGGCGGATGTGTCATCTATTGGTCAGCAGATAGTGCATGCACGGGCGCAATCTCTCCAGTCCACACAGTGAAAGTCATACTGCTACAACGAACAGTCTTTTTTGGCCTTTAGGCTTTCTTCCAGCTTAAGATTATGAAGTAGAAGCTGTCATTCTCCTGCAGTATTTCCATATGACGTCAGGATAAACAGCAAAGGGATTGACGGAATTGGCATGGAACAGCGACAGTTCTTCTTATCAATGCATTACACATCAGGAGTGGATCCAGAGATCTCTCTCGGGGGGGGGGGAGGGGGGTCCAGTTTAGCCAAAAATGAATAGATAATACACCACTGCTGCCATTCGCACTTTTGGATTTGCGCCATGATGCATTCAGTTACACTTTGCACTGCCGTCATTCACACGTTTTAGATTTGCGCCATGATGCAGCCATTTACACTTTGCTTTGTGGGTATATAAAGCAGTACTGATCCAGATTTACTCATGACTGTTTTCTGATGATCGCTTAGTGCGTGAAACTCAGAGTTAAAATACTTTTTCCGCCTTCTTATTGTTTGAATACATGATACATGTATGGCTTTCAGTAGAACTGTTGCGAAATTTAGGGGGTTCTACGGACCCCCCCCCCCCCCCCTCTCGATCGGCCCGGCACACGGTGGAAATGCAGGAGAGGATGTTGACGTGACGCTGGCCCCGGAAACCCACCTGATGAGCTTCCGTAGTCCGGGACGGAACTCCAGTCTCGGTATCGCACTGGAGTGTGACGGTGCACTCTTCGGCTCAGTTTTCAACGTGAACACCACCAAGAATAGGACCACAGCGGAGAAGCCAAGATCTGTGACAAGTCAGCACCAGAAACAGAAAGGGCGTAAACAGGCGTGAGTCGTCGAGTGACACATACCGTATTTCCGCAAATAAAAGGCCGTCCTCGTATACAACGCCTTCCTCGTATACAAGGCCGGGGCAGGGGCGATTGAAAAAATAAAAGACCGTCTCCGATTAGAAGACCGGGCCTACTAAATGAGTCTTTGTTCTTGTGTTAAAAATAGAAGACCGTGCTCAAACTGTGGGAAAAAATAGAAGACCGTGCTCAAACTGTGTAGAAGAAAATAGAAGAACGGGGGTAAAACTATGTGGCGAGAAATAGAAGACCGGGGTCAAACTGGGTTGAAAGAATAAAAGACCGTCCTCGAATACAAGACCGTCCTCGATTATAAGGCCGGGTTAGGACGAGGTTGAAAAAATAGTAGACCGGCCTACTATTTGTGGAAATACGGTAATAGTTGATTGTCAAGCTAGACAGTGATGTCTCCTCCCGGGAAAGTGTGATGGCGTATGCCCCCAACCCCCCCCCCCCCCCACACACCCACACCCACACAAAAAATCACGGTTTGCATGAGACTCGGCTGTAGGCCAAGTCCCCCTTCCCCCCCCCCCCCCCCCCTCATCACACGCACACACACACACATATATGGTGGGATTACCTAGGCCAGGGTACTCGGCAAGAAGACTCACAGTCTGGTGGGTGGATTACCCTACTTCCTCCGCTAACAAAAACATCGTGATGGATATTGATGGATACAAAAACACTTATACATGTATTAGAACAGATCAAGAACAGTTTGTATCGACTGTAAATCACTGGACGAAGGTAGTTCAGCCTTTGTGCAGCGTCTTTACAAGAGAAACTGTTGGCGGAATGAGCAGAAAGTTATGTTTGCGTCGCTTTCGCTCGACTCATTTTTGACCCTGCGTCGCTGTCGTCATCTGCTGCACGCGAGTCGTCATCTCTTTCTAGTCGTTGTTCAGGTTATAGCTCTTTGATCACACTCCGCTGAAATTTGGTGATGCCGTCGTCGCTCAAGTTGGCTTTCAAGCTGCGTGATCTGCCGCATTGGCGTTTACTCGTTTCCACCAGGGAGTCGTAAAAATATGTTACGACTCCGCGGTTTCACCTCCACTCTCTAGAACTCTGCGAAACGAGGGGTAAAGGCACAACCAAACTGATTCCATTTTCCCTGATGGATGCTCCTGCCAGCTTTGAACGGCAACGGCTAGCAAGTTCTGTCGACTTTTCTTAGCCACGAGATTCACGTCGGACTGTAGACTTCTAAAGAATGCATGGTCATCAGCATTCAAATCTGGACTTTGTGCAGGTTGAACAAGACCAGAGTCATGTCATTGCGCCGTGCGGTCGGAGCAGCTGCCTGTTCACTCGCTCATTGTGTGGGTTCGCTGCTCTGTTCCATCGCGCTCTATCACTCTCAAACTCCGTGCCAGAGAGGCCAAGCAGCGCATTATGTCCTCGGAGGAGTGGTATTTCAGTTTCCCTCGCCATGGCTGTCATCACCTATGTTGACACAGCGCAACCATCGATTCCGCCCAGTTTGTTGTGAAAGGTCGCTTTCCTTCAATCGTATTTCTTTCATGGCATGCCAGGAAAGGTCGAGAAAGTGATCGCGACTCAGTTCACGGAAGTTCGTGCGCAAACCAGTCCCTCAAAAATCCATCACGATTTTTTTGTTAACGGAGGAAGTAGTAAAATAATGAACACAAGTATGTGGAATGGTGAAGAGATCCAGAGAATGATAGTACATGTACACAACTGGCTGCAACACCCTGACCAACAAACTCCATGCCCAGAATTCTGGAATGTTGAGGGACTAGCCGGCTTCAGTACTTACGAACAAGCATGAGGTTCCGGATGTTGTGTCGCAATCCGTCTGCGGGCATGATGTGAGGAAGTAAAGTGAACACACACAAAACCAGAGAACACTGAACACCTACGCATAGAGTTTTGTTTAGTCTAGCTTGTGACCCCCCCCCCCCCCCCTCTAGAGTGTGTAGAGTGTTTTGAGTGATGATCATCAACACGCACTGAGTGTGTGTGTGTGTAGTGCAAAGTGATAGCTCAAGTTTCTATTACACCCTCGTCCCATAACAGTAATGACACCATTAATTTTGTGGACCTGCGTCTTGATCCTAGAGGATGCGGAAAACTCGGCTCATGCGGACCGTGAATTTTTTCGTGCAACGGAAATTCCGCTGGATATGGGAAAGTAGTGAATCACACTCTGCGGTAATATTGTAGTGTGTGCGAAGGGGACACCGCGATTGCTGAGAATTGTGCTCGCTCAGTGAGCATGCTGTCCTTAAAACGAGGAAAATGTGTTGCTCTTCGATACTCTCCGCACAGCAAAAACAAGTGCTATCGAGTGCAGAAACGATAGCACTATGGTGGCCCTGCAGACTGGGCTCTGAGTAACTGTAACTAACTTGGTCTACTGTACTTTTCTAACATGTCCAAACGCAGGTCAACATTGGTGAAAATGCTCGTTATGCCTACACGAGGAAGTCAACACACAGTCAAAAAAATCACGGTTCGCTCTAGCCGAGTTTTTTTGCATCCGTAGGAACACGACCACCCTTCAAGGATCAAGGCGCAGATGCAGCTCCTAAAGCGGTGGGAGGTGAGTGGATCACACCTACCAACGTGGTCAAAGACATACAGTACATGTGCAAGCACAGTGTCAATATGTCAGTGTGTGCTTTTCAGGTCACATCTACAAGTAAACCTTACCGATGCATTCGTCGTAGAGGATTGTGAAGTTCGACTCGAAGGTGTGGTTTACTGCACCATCCGCGCTGGTTCTTTAAGGGCAAATTAACACAGCCACCCAGCCACAGACACAGACACGCACAGCCACCCAGCCACACACACACCGCGCGCGTACACGCACACACACACACTTAACAGGCTTACAACAAAGCCGGGCAGCATGTCGAAAACATAATCGTACAAACGGACGAAATCCGGAGAAAGCGATCCAGCAAATCCACAGCCACCATGTGAACATACTAACAATATCATAGTGCCACTGTAGGAAGGCTTTCGACAAGTCTCAAACTAAACTAGAGTGAGGCAATGTGCCCGCCGGGTGGGGCTTACCCGTTGCATTGCGTATCCGGTACAAGCAGTGGTCCCAGCAGGAACGACGTCGCAACTCCCACCGTGGTGCTCATGCCGGCTACAGCGGTCGCTGTCACACGTTCCGACGGTGGGAACCACTTTGCAGAGATCACGGGCCCAGCTCCCAGCGCCACGGGTGCTGACAGGCCGTTGAGCAGGTGAGCAAAGTTTATCAGGCTGTATGCAAAGTGCGGAGATACACGCGCGTGCATACAGAAGTGCACACACACACACACACACACACACACACATACACGTACACACGAGGGGCTTATGCACACCCACACACAAGTATACACACGGGCACCAATGCAGACATAGTATGATACGTGCACAATTATACTCCATCGTGCTTCTCACTCATAGCAAGATGCCACGGCCTGAAACTGTACAGGTCCTGTCTGAACAACCCTATAAAAGAACTCCAAGAAATGCTATGCCTCTGCACTGCATCCAGAAATGAAGTGCTGTACCAAAAGGCAAGGGGGGGGGGGGGTGTTGGTGAGATGATAATAACAAAGAATACACACAGACAAAGATGTCACGAACTAGAAACCCAGTGCAACTCACTAGGAGGCTGCATTTGGCTCCATGGTGATACAGCGTAGCGCTGTGCATGCCATGCCACACAGAGCCGAGAACAGGAAGACGGCCTTCAGAGTCCGTCGTCCCATCGCCCATGACAACGGGCCAGCCGCAATCGTGAAGCCAATGCAACCCCAGTTGGCTAGCAGTGCAATTGTTCCATCCGTCCAACCGAATGCCTAGGTAGAGAAATAGAGGGAGGGAGAGAGAGAGAGAGAGAGAGACCATTGAAGAGAAACTTAGATGTGGTTATACTGCAACGCTACGCATACACGCACATGTACAGCACACCTACAATCACACAGTCATGCGTAAACACACACTAGCCCCCCCCCCCCCCCTCTGCACGAGGGCACGCACACACACACGCACACGCACACACGCGTGTGTACATGTACTTGCTCACTGCTAAAACGGTTCACGTGGGTCTCCCCGGGAGAAGGGAGAGAGACTCAAAAACAATCTTGGAAAGATTACTCAATTGGCTATTGAACCGCCCAACGGCCGACTCACCCTGAAATCCCCAAACTCCGGGTGGACTTGGAAATGATCCCACTTACCACATCTCAGTAATTGGTTGAGGACAATGTGCAGAAAAAGGATTGAAGGTATCAGGGTATCTGTCTGGGATCCACCTGCAGTTATCCCTGCCCCCCGTGAAGGTATTACTTGCTACTAGTGTGGGTGGCTAAATCAGAGTGGATCTGATAATTATAAACTTCACTAGCACCATTGATTACACAAGAGTTAATCTAGCCAGAAGCAGTCCATGGTTAACAGGTACCGTAGTGCCGCGTATAAAAGAATGACCTGTGCATAAGCATGACTTGAATAGAAGCCAATTTTTCGAGGTGCGCCACGACACAGAAGCACGATTTGAATAGAAGCCACTTTGTGCAAAGACACGTGCAAGTATTTGAACAGTACATACGTGGCAGTATGCACTGCACTGTACAGTGTACACTGATCATGTTGACGTAGAAGCGTGTTTCGAATAGAAGCATACTTGAATAGAAGCATGGTTTGAACCCCGGCTTATACAGTCGTAAGCACCTGCTTTTATACGCGGCGTTACAGTATGTATACTTAAAATAGAAAACCAACAAAGGTGGCAGGTACAACATTACACCTTCAAACAGCCGAGCCCGTTGGCAACATACCCAGCACTATCTGGCACACACACACACACACGCAAACACACACGCGCGCACGCGCGAGCGCACGCATGCACACGCATGCATGGTCCGTACCTGTTTGGCCACGTCAGCGATGGGTCCCCATGTATTCCAGAGGCATGCCTCTTCAAAGATAACTAACCAGACGACAAACAACACCCACCAGCGATACTTGTACACCTGAATGCAGCAACAAGAAACACACAAACCAAACAGGAACATGAAGATTGGAATAAACTCCTGTTGATGGGATATGCTGCTCATGTCTTATCACGTGACTATTACGTCATATATTTTGCCTGTATGTTACGTCACAACCAGCCTGCGCCATCTTGGACTAGTCGCCTGAAGTGCATGCTTGGCTTGACCTGGTTGTCTGTTCTTTACCTGTCTTCTTCACACCTGTATCTAATTGTATTCTTCCAAACCTCGCCCTGTGTCCTTGAGTGTTTGTGCATGACTGTGAAGGCAGACATCACATGGCGCAGTGAACATATTCTAGTATAGTACCTGTTCTGTTGCTGCCGTTTTTTTACCTGTGTTTGCACCTCGTTGTGTTACTCGCAGGCCGGAATTTTAAAATTTGCGTTTTGTTCGTGTCGAACCGGTTTCGAAATGGCGGACGGCAATGGCCAAGCCGAACTCTCTGGAGCCGCTGCTCTCACTAAGTTAGTCGCAGCGCAGATGCAAGCTGCCGAGGCCAGAGAACAACAACTGTCCAAAATGTTTCAAGACACATTGAAAAGTCTCCAACAGCAACAAGAACAGCCCACAGGTTTAGCCCCAACGTCTACACGCTCGACACCCACATCCACACCAACACCAAAGCCGCTGTCTGTGGATCGTCCAATGTTGCTTTCCACTGCGTCTTTGGCTGATTTCGTCACATGGGAAGAAGCCTGGGACGACTATTCTGCGTGCCAACAACTTGCTTCTCATGGCTTGAACACCAGAGTGAGCGCCCTTCGTCAAGCGTTTGACGAGGACCTCCGCCGCTCTCTCCGCGAGGGTATCATCCCCATTGGTGCAAACGACGATGTTCATGTGATCATCGCCGAAGTCAAGAAGTATTTGCGACGCTTAAGTAATCCCTTGTTGGACAGACTGGCAGTTTACAATCGTAAACAGTCCAGAGCTAAGCCGTTTGACGTGTTTTACACCTCCCCGAGAGAGTCGTATAATGCATGTGATTTTCCGGATTTGTCACTATGCACTACATGTTCGGGCCGAGTATGCGGAGGGTGCAAGTCCATCCTACAACAAGTCACACATGATGTACTGCGTGACCGCATTGTCGTCGGAATACTCAACGAGGAAAGCCGACACAAGTTGCTTGCCACACCAGACCTGGCCCTGGATGCAGACATCAAACTTTGCTGAGCCGAGGAAGCAGCGTCTGACACCTCCCACAACATTCCTGGGCAGGCGCAAGTCAACGCCGCACGATAATCTGCATACCAGAAGCAGAAGCGACAGTCTGTCTCTAACTCTTTTACTAAGTCCTCTGCTGCTCCGAAAGCACCAGTTAAATATCCGAACTGTGGTCGTTCCCCTCACACTAAGTCTGCACGTCCAGCCATTGGGAAATTGTGCAACGGATGCAAAGTTGCTGGCCATTTCCAATCAATGTGCCCGAAACCCAAGAAGCAAACCCAGATTGGCATGTCGAAGGTCCGGTGCGCCCAGGAGTCCGGCTCCGACACTGTTCGACTAGCAACAAAGCTATGCATTGAACCACAGCCAATTCAGCTTCAATGGATCCCGGACACTGGGAGTGACATCGACGCAATTGGCATCCGGCAACTTTTCCTGCTAGGCGGATTCGTTGAGAATCTCGACAGTGACTTTGACGACGTCCGGACAAAGAGTGGCGACAAGTTCGTAACTGTCGGCAAGATGTGTGTCACTTTCCAGGTCAATGACCAATCACATGACAGCGTGAGCCATGTCTTGACGACGCACTGCTGTCACGTTCCTTATTGAGAGCTCTAAACTTCTCGCCGCCCGGCTGGCCCCAGCAAGTCGCACGCGTGAGTGCTCCGCGTACGCCCAGCCCGACAGACCTAGTGAAAATCCGATCACAGTTGCTAGAGGAGTTTTCCGACGTATTTGACGACAGTACTCTAAAACCAATGGCTGCCCCCCCCCCCCCCCCCCCCGATGGACATCATTCTTGAACCCGATGCCAAGCCTCACCGTTTGTAAAAGCAGAAACTATCGTGGTGTTATTTTTTTTCGGTATTCTCCAAAATCGGAGGTTCGGTGGAGGGGAATGTTCGGTAAACCCGTTTTCCAGGCAAGTGTACTAGTACCGGTACCGACATTTAGTGCCTTTTTATTATACGTAAAACTTGTCGGCACCGAATTTTCCGAAAATAAAACACCACCGAAATGTTTTCCTTTTTAATACAGTACCTTCAGTGTGAGTCACCGACAATGTGTGCCTTTCATAAAGTAAGTGAGCTTTGACCAGTTGTGGAGTGCAGTACCGCGCGGGAAGGAGTTTTTGATTGGTCCCGTAGTTTCATGGCCTTATTTTGTGTGTGATGTGGCGGGTACACACGTTGGTGCGGTGATAACCTGACCAACCGGACCGGTTTCGGCGGGCCTGGAGGTTTTTTTTTTATAGATTCACAGAACTGCCTGCAACCCGGTCAGCACTCTTGGCAACAGTCGAACAGCACCAGTCGGGTCAGCACTCTGGGTATATACCAGCTGTACACAACAACCACAAGCCCACACCACACTACCCGGGTCGGCAGGCTCTGTACACAACAGCTGGGTTGGCAGACTCTACACAACAACTGGGTTGGCAGACTCTGTACACAACAGCCAGCGGGGGGGGGGGGTAGAAGGGATACTGTAAGACATGTTATTATAACGAGTTGCAAATTTAACGATTGTTCAAAATTCATAGGTTAACGAGACGATATGTTAACGATCTTGCAGTATTCCGGCATATCCATACACAACATATATGAAGCATTACAGCCTCATCGAATCTTATTATAACGAAAAAATGTCAGCCGTTAAAACTTTAGATTTACTTCCTCGTTATATATACATGTCTTACAGTAGGTCCCAGCAGTTGTGGCAGACGTATGTAATACTGCACAAGGACCAGTGCAATACCGGCCGATATCTGCACGAACGGCGAAGCCGTAAGTGCAGATATCGACGCCGGTATTGCACGCGTCCGAGTGCAGTAATACATTTATCGCACCCCTGCCACCACAAAGTCTGTCACCACACACTTGACACAGTGTGGTGCAACCCTAGCATGCTGCATGCAACCCTGCTATCATTTTCACAGTTATACAACACAGCACAACCAGTCGCGTTCATTTTTAGAGCAGCTGCTGTTTGTACACGGGACATCCTGGAAGTAGCGGGACAGCTTGCTCATGTCGTCGTCGTTGATGGGGTGTTTGTGCTCCACCGCTTTGACTTCTCCCGCTTTCTTTAGCTTCATGAGGAAGGCCTTCAATGCAATGTTTGCGTCCTTGAACGCTGGGTCACTGTGGACGTTCATGGGCCGCTTCAACTCGCCTAGCTTGCGATGTATTGCGGAACGGAAACCGAGCAAGCTTGATGCAGAGACGGTAGTAGAGAACTTCACTCCAGCTTTCTTCGGACGCAATTCGACGTATGCATGTCGCAGAATGTAAGCTAGGTCGCTTGCCGTAACCGAACTAAGGTCACAGCGACGTCCTGTCTCTTTACAATACTTGTCGAATAAGCGGAGCCATTTGGCAGTTGCCTGCTCTGTGTTTTTGTTTTTCTGCTCAGAAACGAGGCTGTCGATGGCGGCGTCGGACAGTTTCTCAAATCGGCTGTCGACAGTCTTCTCCAATACTTGGGCGTCTGCTGTCTCGACTCTCACGGAGCTTGTGAAGTTGACTTGGCGGACGCACGCCGGGTCCACATGCGCTTCCGCGACAGCGTCCTCGACCAAGTTGGTGTGCTGCAGCAAGTCAGCAGCTACTCCCTGGCGGAGCGACTCGCAATATTCCCCAGTACACAGCCAGCCAATGATTATGTGGATGCACTGCAGTGCGATATTGCACCCCGGCGAGTGAGCGTGCAAATAACCTATATCTGCACGCTCACTTCGAAGCGAGCGTGCAAATGTAGGTTATTGCACGCTCACTCGCCGGGGTGCAATATCGCACTGCAGTGCATCCACATTGGCTGGCGGTGTACTGGGGAATATTGCACGCTCAGTAAGGCCGCTGATTGGCTCAAACCATGGAGACACTCACTTGGGGTGCGATAATCTGTGCATACCAGCCAGGTCGCCAGTCCCTGTACATACCAGCAGCTGATGATTACTAAAAACTGGTACCTATTGAGCATAGTATGACTTCCGCAGGGGTAAGTCGGTGGTTGAGTGTGTAAGGGCCCGGTCACACATGCACTGGGATTCGCTTCGGCGATGAGGTTCGGCGGCAGCGAGCCTGGTGTCGCTCCAGCGAAACCACGTGTGCATGGTCACACATACAAACAGGGCACAACTCCTACTTTGGCGGAAAATGAGAGTAAAGTGGACTGTGGTGCATACAGTACGGAGAATGGACGAGGTCAATGACTATCTTGCAAGCATTCTTGTTGCATGGACATCATACGCATACAAATTTCTCGTAGCAAGTCCATATACAGCAGACCGTGGTGTTTTCCGCTGAAGCGAATCCGCAGAAGCGACAGTCTCGCTTCGAAAATTTTGGCGGAAGCGGATTGGAGTTTCCGCTGAAGCGGAAGTTCCGCTTTTCGCCGTTGCCATGCCATTTTTCGCTCCTGCAACCCGCTTTAGCGTATACGCTACTTTCGAGTGCTTGTGTGACTGGGCAGAAGCAGTGGTTGCTGGCAACTGCCGCGTGTTTCTGCAATAGGTGTATTTATGCTACGACCTGTACATACTCACTATTCGTGTTTCCCGCTCGTTCCCCTTGGCGATGAGAGCCACTCACATAGAAGTACTACTACTACAGTACTAATACACTGTACTTGCACCACAGGCAAAGGAGTCGACCTTACCTTTCGTTTGGCGGTACCACTACTATTGAGATGCGAGTCAGCTTCCGCTGCAGAGTCCTCGCTATGCTTTGTCGAGCCCTCAACGGAAAGGTCCGTAAGCTGTAGATGTAGGGAGTCATCCGAGCTGGTTCTTGATACGCTTCCACCTGCAACATCACGGAACGAAGTAAGGATGGGTCGAGTATCCCGGCTGTCTGAATCTTCGCCGGAAATCGGCTCGTAAGAAGCCATTGCCTCGTCCCAGCACTGCGGGCGGAGACGACGTTGAGCACCAGCTGCTACAGGCTGCCTACTACGAGCCCATTTCTAACGGCAAGAACCCGACGATGCAGAGTGACTATTATCTCCCTGCTATTGCTACGTACATCGAGGGCTGCTTGGTTCTAGTCACATTCAAACAGCAGTAAACACTTGCCAGCGTCCTTGGCCCAAAGAAACAATGTCACTCAATGCAGCCTCGTCTAGCTCTCAGTAAATACAAAAATGTAGAAGAATAAGCTGTCCCCGAGGAGAAACTAATAGTTGGCAGGACTCAAATACCATGAATACGCAGCTTCTCCACTGCTTTGAGAGTTACACTTCGAACGCTCGATTCGCTCACGGCGATGATAATAAAATTATTATTTTCATCTCATTCTCAGAGGTAGTCTGCGACGACGGACTACCAGTATCAAACTCCTGTAGCTATCTTACGCTGTCAAACAACACGCAAGTAACTTAGTTCCTTGAAATGCATGCTGTCGAGCGGATGATCGCCGCAGATCAGGCAAGACAGCTCAATTAAATTGATCGGTCGCTTTCTCCTCCATCAATCAGCCTTACATTTTGTAGCTTCGCTGTTTGCAATCAAAATGGAAAAAAGATGTTTGCCGAGCTAGCTGCGCGAGGCATTGCCTATGTGCGAGGTGTGACATGACAGTCGACTAGTCATGCCATTGCAAATGACACACGTGCAGGCTGAGGCTGTGCCAGACACTGCAGTGCATGCACAAAAAAAGTCAGTTCATTCATCTGGCGATGGGACCGGTACAGGCCGCGATTACGACCTCTCACACTCAGTCCACATGCCATGGTCCAGGTCTGAGACAAGAGAACTAAAAACAGACGGTCGACCTGTTATTGTGTGCAATCATGCAGACAGTCGTGTACGCAACATGGATGCATTTCCAAACGCTGTCATTAATTTTTGTAGCCACAATGCCGGTACCGTTCATAATAATAAATTGTAGTCGATGATTCCCATGCATGGCGCACAGCCAGGAAAAACGTTTCGACTCTTTTACCACTTGTCCAGTTATCCGTTCTTGAATCTTCAGTAGATTTTGGATCTACATGTAGAAGTGACTTCTGGCTTGCACCTGGCGTCCAGTCAAAGACATCCTGACACTCAAAGCCAGACAGTTCCCAGTTGAAACTCGCTAGTGGTGTGTGTGTGTGTGTGTGTGTGTGCGTGCGTGTGTGTGTGCGCGCGCGCGCGTGTGTGTGTGGGTGTGTGTGTGTGTAGTCGGAGGCATGCATAGGCATGTGTGTGCATATGTGTGCGCGTGCGCACTCGCGTGTGTGTGTGTGTGTGTGTGTGTGTGTGTGTGTGTGTGTGTGTGCGCGTGGATACCAGGCTAAAATTAGTGGCGGTCAATTCTTCAGCCTTGCAAGCTGTTGAATTGTGTAATCCCAGCACAAGTTGCTATGTGTAACATAGCTGTTCGCTATCATCGCTTCCGCGATGGGCGTGTGTGTATGTGTGCGTGTGTGTGTGCATGCGCTCGCGCGCGTGCGTGTGTGTCAGCCAGCACCCTCTAAACATACGGATACAGCATTGTGGAAATTGAGTTATCTCTAGCTGCTGGCTTTTGCAGACTGGCAAATGTCAACCCTGAAGTCGATGGATCAAGCACTGGGCTGATGCCCAAAGACAGGTGTTTTCGAAGACTGAAAGCAGCGGTGCAGCGGGTCCATGTTTTAGGGGGCGCAGGGTAGAAACTATAAAAATGTTCTTGAAGCATTTCAAGTAGTATGATTGTAATTCTTTGAAAATGCATAGCACGGCTCTACAGTCACCCAGCTACAGCTAGGGAGTGAGTGGACTTTGCACACTGGCCCCAGATCCACACTGGCTTCATAGTGGGTACGGAACTGCGATCCACTGACCATTTGGCCCAAACAGTCGCGTGCTCCACGGAGTTTGAAAGTATTGGATGGGGCGAAGGCAGGTCGGGGAACATCCCCCCCCCCTCCCCCTCGCGGCCTCAGTGCCTGCTTAGACCTGATAAAGGGCCAAAAGTCTTGCCAATGTTGCTTCCAAACGATGGCCACTACGGAGGTGGTATTAGCCTGTGCATGTATGACTAAGCAATCGTACATTGATGCTACAGTCCTGCCTGGCGCCAAAGAAAGGAGCTCCGATGTACGACCAGCTTAGGAACTCATCAAGAACAGTGTACCAATGTACATGTATACACATGACTCAAATGTGCGTAGACTGTTATACATGAAAATAAGAATGGTCTGGGCTAGGAGGCTTAAGTTTATGAAGTCTTTTTTTCTAAAAGCAAGCTGTAATAATGATAGGAATAGCTAGATGTTGCCAAGGAAAGACTGAATTGGAAAAAACCAGGTAAATCCAGACCGTTTGACTCGGCTTGCAACAGTACATGATGCGGTTCGAACTCCATTTGAGATACCTTTTCGACCCATTTTCAAATTTCAAGTTTTGCGGCACAGCACACGATGAAATTAATCATCGCAATCACCAAATATGGAAGCTAATCGGAAGTGGACATCATAATAATAATTATTTCAATGAACGATCTGCAGGCAGAGAGTTGCATGCATTTCGAAATTGCAAGATAGTCGGTTTGGAGTAGCGGAAGACGTAGACATTTCCGTCCACTTTCGACTGATAAAGAGCTCCACAACGAAAGCTACTTCCGTTGCAACCACCGGACTGCCAAATAGTGATGTGCGCCACATGAGTGCTGTCATACTAGGATTGCGCGCAAGTGTACCTGCCGACACCAGCAAGAAGTTTTCCGTCTTACATCCTATTTTGCTTCTTGAGCCCGGGAGAATGTCTTCATGGACAGTGCAGTGTGCCTTCTGAGCTCAGCGCTTGGCTTCTGTATCTCTGGTTGCGCTTTCACCCTTTCGGGAAAGATCTGACAGCCGGGCATCAGTGTGTTGATGGTTTCGGGCGCTACAGATACACATAAACATGCAACCGTAACCCTCCGTGACCATCGGTGCCCATGGCAACTGTACCAATACCCTTTTTTATCATGGAAACTGAGTCGGGTAGCCCAATTGCAGGCGCGTGCCCCGTATAGGATCCTGGGTGCCCGGACCCCCCCCCCCCCTTGAAGGGCACCGGCGCACGCGCCTGCAATTGTGTAGCCTATCGGCAGCATGTCACTTAGTATTCTCAGTTAGTTGTAGGAGTAACGGAGTATGCTTTCATTTCATTTTATTTTATTCCCGTAGTCATGCAAAAGACGTTGCTTCAGTAACGTTTGGCGCTAGCCAGGGTCCACACAGCCTTAATTCCGTGTGTGTTTGTGTGTTTGTGGCGTCAGCATGCCTGGCGCTATCTCGTAACTCAAATATGGTTTTCAAATGCAAGATCATAACGTGAAGCAACTTGGAAGAATGAGTATGTATGCGAAATGTATCGGGGGAATGCATGCAGGACGATAGTGCGGGTTCGAATCCTAGGTTATGTCTTGAAAAAATAGGAGAAATGAAAAAAATTATATCACCCCTATGCTTTTTTTGCCTAGGTCATCAAGGTGGTAGACGGTGTCGTATTACCCTCGAATGCAGAGAGAAAGTTTATTTCTTTCGCTCAGGGCCCTATGCTATGCATCATGCATGCTATTCGAACAGATGGAGACTTTTGCAATACAATGATGTAGCCGATCAGTTCGTTGTGGCATGGTTGGGCATTGTAGCCGTCATGGTCGACATAAAACACTATAGCCAATCAATGGAAAACACATTTCCATCCGCTCTAATAACATGCACGATGAGCTAGGCACAAAAGCATAGCGTAGGGCCATGAGCTTCCAAGCTCTCTCGTTGGCCCTCGTGTCAAGTCAGGGTTACACGTGCACGTTGTTTTCAGCTTATCTCCTCCCAGCACAATGCACTCCCGACAGTTTTATACCCCTCGCTTTACGCAACAGCTGAATTTCACCTGACGCAATTTGAATCACTCACCGCGTAGGTGACGTTCGCGGTCTCGCGTCCCTCCTCGACCAGCTTTCCGGGCAGCAATGCTGCTGTTGATCTGTCGGAGGCCTGTGCGGGCTCTTCACTTGCAAGTGAAACGTCACCTTCCCCTACAGCACATCCCGCCACACTGCCGTACCCGGACGAACTCAACACTGTATCGTTTCCCACAACGAAACTTGTAGCAACATTTCCAGTTGAACTTGCGGGAGCACGGTCAACTCCACTCGACGTTCTCCGCTCATCCGACCCAGCACGCTTTCTTGAAGTCATCTGGACCACAGAAGCAAGGCTTCACTAGAAGAACACTGTGAATCGCCAGGTCCAGGTAGCTGCAAAGAAACACCTGTACCAAGAAGATGGACTTGCTGTTCTCACAATTATTTTGATTTTGAAATTTACAACCTTCACCGGACGACACGTGGTCCAAACAGGGAGTCGACTCGATCGAGTAGATCTACAACAAGAAAGTGCAAGTGAACCAGGGAGTCGTAAAATACCGGTATTTTACGACTCCCTGGAGTGAACTAACTACTTACTACTTGTGATGTTTTTATTTTTTTGTTTTTTTACCAAATTAAACCAAGCCTCTTGTACGGGCAAAATAAACAGAAGTGCAAGGAGGTCAACAGCTTAGTGCCGAGACTGCGAGAGAAAATGAGCTGCAATGGCTGTGAAAACAGTCTTATACGGAGGAAGCTACAATGGCTGTGAAAACAGTCTAATAAGGAGGGAGCTAAAATGGCTGCGAAGACAGTCTAATGCCTAGCAAGGCGAGCCTCAGCAGCCTGGACGAGGTCGACAGGCGCTAGGCACAAGGTTTGTAACAGTCCAACTAACTTCAGTAGTCATTCTTGGAATAAGCAATGATCCTTGCCATAATGCATTCTTATATACATGAACAAGCAATGATGGACATAACACCTAACAGCAGCAGCGTGGTAATAGCAGGTGATAAGTGTATCCTATTCCTAGTGTTAGTAGTAACAGTGAATCTGTTACACCATTCCCCCCTCTCAACTGTCAGAACAGTACCAATTCGAAGGAACAGTTATGGTAACTAATGATCATGCATGGATATGTGGAATGCATGGTAGCCGAAAACAACACTGATGAACTCAAGATCCAGTGCATGTCCTCTGCAAATAACGCCTGGCTGGCAGGGAAGCACTATCCTAATCATGCAGAATGCTACATTTCTATTGCAACACGTAGAAACTAGCAATACAACTGTGGCTGCCAATTAAATAGCAATTTTATGAAAAACGGTCCAGGTAGGTTTTCAGCGGAATAATAGCGTTTCCTGCTTCATCCATCAAGTATTCCTCCGGCTCCCAGGTGGCATCTCGGTAGCCCTTCCATTTCACTAGGTACTGCGTGCGCCGTCCTCTCTTCTTGTGCGACAACACCTTTTCGACAATGTACCGCGTATGGCCATCCGCATCGGTTAGGGGTGGAGGTGCCGGCTGAGTACGGCCCGGTATCTCATTGCCATGGTACAGCTTGAGGGCAGCAATATTGAACACTGGATGGGCCCGAATGATTCTTGGAAGAGCTAATCTGTACGCATTCGGGGCCACTTTCTTCTGCACCTTGAACGGCCCATACCACTTGAGCCTTAA